GACCCTTCAGCCTGTCCATCACAGAGGGACGTTCCCTCCACCCAGCTAGGCTGATGAGCTGCTGCCGGCCAGCCCATCTTTTCTGAGAGATTCCCCAGACCTCCAGTGCCTGATCGTGTTAGCTCAAGATTCTCTCTGCCTACTCCCGGGCTCCTTTATCACCTATCAAACCTAGATCACAGTCCAGAGTTTGAGATACTTCGTTTGCTTTTTCCCTTTTGAGTCCAAGACCAGCTTGGTTTACACAGCAAGTTTCAGGGACACATACTCAGACCCTGTCTCAACAAAAAAATGCAAAAAAAGAAAGAAAGAAAAAAGAAAGACGAGGAGGAAGAGGAAGAAGAGAAATTCTGCGGAGAGGCAAAAGAACCGGAAAGACTAAGACGGGAAGCCATGAAGCCTCACAGTAAGGCTGAAGTGGCAGGCTGTTGATTGCCCATCTCTTGTGTAGTGTCAGCAGCCATCAGAACAGAATCCTTAAGAATCCTGAGATGGCCACGTGGACACGTCAACAGATTTAATGGTTTATGTTGAAACAGAGTCCTCTGGAAAGCCACAGCTGACCTGGAGCATGTGATTCTTCTTCCTCGGCCTCGTTATCCTGGGATTATCTGCTCACCACACCAGTTGTGCTATTTTTTTAGTAAGATGTGGGGTCAGAGTTAATTTTTTGCATGTGGATATCCAGCCATCCTAGCACCATTCGAGGGAAGAAGGCCCTCCATCCTCTGAACCACTTCTGTCATTGTGGAAACTCGATGGGGTGTGTGTGAGTTTGTGTCTGTCTGTTGAGCTCCTTTCTGCCCAGATCTCCATCACCATAGCTTCATGGTTAAGCTTGGGGTAGGTAGACTGAATGCTCCCATTAACATGCTTGTCTTATTTAATTTTTCCTATTGCTGCAATAAAACACCACACAAAAGTAACTTAAAGGAAAAAAAAGCTTATTTTAACAAGATATAGTCCATCAGTGGGGAAAGTGTAATAGCAGGAGCACAAGGAAGAGGGACACATTGTATCCTCATTCCAGAAGCAGAGAGTGAAGAACTCTGATACTCACCTTGCTTTCTCATTTTTACCCCAGCCCATGGAATGGTACTGCCCGCAGTTAAGGTGGGTATTCTTCCTTCAGTTATCCCAATCTAGATAACCATGGACATGTCCAGAGGTTAGCCTAATCTACACAGTCCCCTCAATGATTTAGATCCTGCCCCTTTGAGAGTGAATATTACCATTACCCTTGTCACCTGGTGCAAGCTGTGTCTGCTAGGGAACGTATGCCCGGAGTCCACCCTCACTTGTATCACCAACCAGTTAGATTCAAGAGGTCGTTGACAGAATCTCCTAGACACTGAAAATGCATTTGGTTTCCTGATAATCCACAGTGGCCCTTTGCCACTGTAGCCAAGTTTAATTGGTGTGCTGTAGGCATGGACCAGGTTTGGGCTACAGCTGAGTCAGCTGAAGGGCACAGAAAACCTGCTGGGCCCTAGCCAACCGCTGGGCAGGCGTTTGAACATCCAGTAAGCATTCAGTACTGCTGCTGCCTCCTGGTCCATGGAACATACTTTGAAACACTGGAGAGAGGCAACCTTTCCCCTTCTTCTTTTGCACTAGATAGTACTTTATAATTCCTTCTTTGGGGATTTCCTTCTCAATTTTGGTTTTTAGACAAGCTGTCCATGTATATCCCAGACTTGCCTTGAACTCACAGTTTTTCTGCTTTAGTCTCCTTTGTGTGTGTGTGTGTGGGGGGGGATGGTCATAGGTGTGTGTTACCACACCAACACTGTTCTGTTACTGTGGGAGGGTCATAGAATCTGAGGACTGAACTTGGCTTCTACAGCCAAGCACATTAATGGATGTGAGCAAACTTTGAAAACGTTCATCATCACTTCACGTGACCCCTGCTTGGAAGAAGAGTCTAGAAGCTGTGCTTTGGGGACCAGATTCTACTAATAAAGAATGCCCAGGGTTCCCATGTTGAGCCCCATGTAAGTGACCGGCCTCACATTTCCTGTGCTCTCACTTTCTACAACAACATCTAAAGCCTTCTGGCTCAGGGTTCCTGTCCTTGTACTGCTGGGAGGGGTGGAACTGGAGCCTAGGCTGCTACCCTAGGGAGAAGCACCCTACCACACTCTGTGTACAGATTCTAGTTCCAAAACAAGCAGAACAGAGTAGATTCTTTTTCCTCTGCTCTGCTCTGATGAGCTTTGTGGGCTGTGTTCTGTGTCCTGCTGGGATCTAGCCATGGCGTGGGGTAGCCTCCTGTTACCTGTTCTGGTTGCAGAGCCCTCTGATCTGCGTGTAACTGGTGTGTAGAGCTGGTTTCTGCTGTAGTGCACAGACCCTCAAGCTGTTATGACACGAGTGTGACCCTGATGCTGCTTGTTACGGTTGTGACTCTTACACCCTCCCACCTGAAGTTTGTAGCTTAGAAGCTTGGGCTCCAGCTGATGGTACTTGTGGGTGATGGCATAACCTTTAGGAGGAGGAAACTAGTGGAAGAAAGTTAGGTCATTAGGGAAATGCACCTCCATGGAGACATTTGCTTCTCAGCTGCCATGAAGAGGGTAGCTTTGCTTATCCTGCATGCCCCACTGTGATGCTGTGTTTCCCATAGGCCTCCAGCCAGCAGCACTAACCACAGAATGGTTCCCTGGAACTAAGCCAATCCCTCCTTTGATGGAGGAAGGTCATTGGTTAATTAATAAAGAAACTGCTTGGCCCTGATACTTTAGAACATAGGTGGGTAGAGTAAACAGAACAGAATGCTGGGAGGAAGAGGAAGTGAGCTCAGCCGCCATAGCTCTGTTCTCTGAGGCAGATAAAGCACGCGATGAAGCAAGACGCCAGGTCAGACATGCTGAATCTTTCCCGGTAAGACTGGTGCTACACAGATTATTAGAGATGGGTTGATCGGGATATGAGAATTAGCCAGTAAAGGCTAGAGCTAATGGGCCAAGCAGTGTTTAAAAGAATACAGTTTGTGTGTTGTTATTTTGGGGTATAAGCTAGCCAGGCGGCCAGGAGCCGGGTGGCAGGAATGCAGCCCACAGCTCCTTCAACAGAATGGCGCCCAGACGTGGATAACTGCATCCACAGAAAATCTGAAAAAGCATTGAAGGCTCAAATTAATTTTCCTATCACATTTGTGTTTTTTTTTTCTTTTTGGTTTTTCAAGACAGGGTTTCTCTTGTAGCTTTGGAGCCTGTCCTGGCACTCACTCTATAGATCAGGCTGGCCTCGAACTCATAGAGATCCGCCTGCCCCTGCCCAATCAGGAAGGAGTCTAGTCACTAGAAGCGGAGCAGGAAGCAAAGAGAGAGCGAGAAGGGAAGTGGCCCCTTTTTTAAAGAGAGAGACCACGCCCCAATGGGCTGGTATCTCAGCGGCTATTGGCTGGAGGAGCAGAAGGACCTCCCGCAACACTCCCTGCCTTCTGCTCAGTGACCAGCCACTATCCCCATCCTGGGTTGATACCCACTCCACATGGTACCCACCTGCCAGGAGTTTTGAGGCCAGACGGAGGCATGGAATTGGGTTAGAGTTACTAGGCCCTTGAGCCAGCTTAGATGCTGATTCAAAAAAAGGAAAATGTTATACTGAGTTTGGGGATTAATGTGCCTAGTTGTTTTTAGCATTTTAAGGCAGTGTGGAAACCTTGAAAACTGGGAATTCATCTGCCTGGATTGTGTATAGCTCCCATCCTGATGTTCTTAACCTTTCCCTTCTTTGCTCAGTAATAGCTTGCTCAGCTGCTCTGATTTTTCACTGGAGTGTTAAGCTACCTGCATTCTAATCTTCAAGTTGCTGGGGTTGGGATGGGTTTGGAGAGCAAGAGAGACTAACATTCAGGAGGTGCGTATCAGCTTGCATCCTTTCCTGAGATGATGATCAGCAGTACGCAACCAGAGAGGCAGAGTGATCAGATAGCAGGAAGGATGTGAAGTGGGGAGGATTATTGGGTGGGACACGTGAGTACCCCCTCACTGTGTTTCTCCCCACACTGCATGAAGTTGATGTTTTTATATTGATCTTAGAGCTTAGGCATCTTATATCCCAGAATGAACAACACCTGCATCACTCTGTCTGAAACACATGTGCGGTACTGGATTGGTCTGTGCTCAACTGCCCACTATGGAGATGGCTTTTGAGGCATCCTTCAAAGGATGCATGGGAAATAGAAATAGCTTGACAAAGGTCTATGTGGGAGCAGGAGAACCACCGTGCTGTGTGTCAGACACTACTTTTTACCCACTCGGGATGATGAGATCATTGGCACGAGCTAGATACTGAAGGACAGATTGCAGTAGAAATGACTCTATGCAGAATTCACAGCCTTGAGAGGGCAGAGAATGAGCGGCAGCAAGAAAAGTGGCTTCTAAAATACAGTGTGTATTTTATAAATGACAGCTGCTGCAAAACAATGGAGATGTGAGTTCATTACAGCCCCCTTGTCATGAAGGCATTCAAATCCATTGCTCTTCCTAAGAGCCAGTATTGCTGTAGGTGAGAAAAGTTAGAAGTAGGGTTCCCAGTGCTTGTTCTCTTGAAAGCATCGTGCTATATCCCTGCACAGGATCAAGGAGCCTTAGAAGAAATTATCTAAAAACTGTTGGTGAGCTGAAGAGATGGCCCACTCAGTTAAGTGCTTTCCAGGCAAGCATGAGGACCTGGGGTCGATCCCCAGTACCCACATTTTAAAAGCTGGGCTTGTGGCCTGTACTTGTAATTCCTGCACTGGGGAGGCAGCGACAGAATCCCTGCTGCTCCTTGGCCATCCTTGGCCTCACTGGCAGACCCCAGGCCCCAGGGAAAGTCCATATCTTGGAGAACTAGGTGGATGACTCCAGAAGATTGACATCTAACAGTGACTTTGACCTGCACACACCTCCACACATAGGTGTATGTGCACCATTACACGTAGGGAAGCCCATACATAAACTATGTTGTAAAAGCTCACAGTTAATGGATCTCTCTTATTATCTTGACAGGTGTTAGCAATGGCTGAAGATGGCAGTGAGGAGATCATGTTTATCTGTAAGTGACCCATAGACCTCTCTGTGGCTAGTATGATGTCATAGAATGTCCAGGGAAAGCTACATCCACATTTTGTTTGTATAGCACAGACATGCACTTCTGTAATTTGTTCCATTGCTTTGAGAGCCTGGCTATTACCTGTCTGCTGCAGTGCTGTGGCCTCAGATCACTTCTCTTCAGTACTCCGTTAGGGGCACATGACTGACTGACCTGTAACTCAGAAAGTCACCAAGGTTTAGAAAGAGTGAAGAGTATGATGAGATTTGGGGTAATGGGTTAGTACTACCCTAGATCCTGATTTTCCTAACCATGGAGATAATGTGTGGGGTTTGAAAGTGCCATAGACTGGTGCTCTTGAGAAGAGGCTCCTGCTTGGCATTCTGTGCTTTTAGGAGCACTAAGAGGTGACTTCTGTGACCAGGCCTCCTGTATCTGCTGTACCCTTGCTTGTCTTTGTGTTAGCACCTGTCTCATGAACTCCATTGCATTAGAGTCCCCTTTCCCAGCTTTGTGATCTTTGGGTTTCTCTCTCCCTGACATTCAGTGTCTGTTTACAGGGTGTGAAGACTGTAGCCAGTACCATGACTCAGAGTGTCCTGAACTGGGTCCTGTGGTCATGGTCAAGGACTCCTTTGTACTGAGCAGGGCAAGGTGAGTGAGTGGCTAAGCTTCCAGAGCAGTTCTAACTATGAAGAAGGGCTCTTTACGTGTCTGCTGTGGCCACAGTGCAGAGGCACCAAGTGTCTACAGATAGAAGGAGGCTTGAGAGTCAAAGTGAAAGACTGTGTGTGTTGGGGGCGGGGTGTGGACACTTGCTGCTGGGATGAGTCCTAAGAGTTTCAAAGCATGAGCAAGTGTTTCCTTGGCATAGTCAGGAACCTTGGCATCTGGGCTGTGTCAGCCTGGACTTCATCAGTTTTATGCGTTGAGCAAAAGTGGCCAAACTCACCAGGTAGTGGTGGTGCATATTTTTGATCTCAGCACTCAGGAAGAACAGGCAGGGTGATCTCTGTGAGTCTGAGGCCAGCCTGGCCTGCAGAGTGAGTTCCAGGACAGCCAGGGCTACACAGAGGAACCCTGTCTCGGGCGGAATATGGACAAATTATTGTCTGCTGGGTTTCGTCTGTGTTTGACAGGTTACTGCCTATTGGGTTTCATCTGTGTTCTGAATCTAGGCCTCTGTGGGCAGGTATGCACTGTGGACAGAATAAGCTCAGTCAGGTAAGGGTTCTGGGTAGGTAATCCAGGAAACAGGTCAAGCTCCTGTAGCTACCAGGAAAAACAAACCTTGCAGATGTACCGAGACAGCTTAGTAGCCAGGCATTGCTCTGCAAGCCCATGTATTCCTGTGAGGTCTGTGCCTTCAGAGATCTAGGGTAACGGCCCATAAACTACCAGTAGCTTGAGAATTGGAGAACCTCAGTTACCCCTCTGAGGCTCTGATGGTGCCTGACTTGGTCTGGTGCTAAACTAAAATACTCAGTGTCTTATCACTGTTTCTAGAAATCCCCCAACTGGTATGTACCCCCATTTATTCATCTTTATTTGTGGCTTAAGTTTTCAAAATATTTTTGCCCTAAGTAGAGAGCTGATCAGCTCTTCTGTGGGGGTGAGGTGCCAGTTGCCCATCAAAATCCAGCTGAAGACATTGAGTGCAGAGCCATTGACTCTTACAGCATCTGCTCATCCCCAGGGAGGATGTCTACCTCTGTCTGCTTCTCGACATGTCTCCACTAGCCCAACCTGAGGTCCCAGCTCCACGACTTCCTTTTCCATCATTTTCTTTGACCTTATAGTCTGGCTAATAAAGGCCTCAGTGAAGCTGATCCAACCCTCCCAGACCGGAGCCCCTTTGTTGCTCTCCAGCCTGACATGCTCTGTGCCCCTCTCTTTTTCCCTTCCTCCACCATTCTCTACAACCTGGAAGGTCATAGCCTTGTCTGATTTAGTTATTATATACCAGCCCCCACACTAGGAATGTGGGGTTGGCATTGTCTTGTGGGGCTGTAAATGTTTCCATTAGTATATGGGCTCTGGGTCCTCACAAGCCTAGCGCCATTTCTGTTCCCATTTATAGGAAGAGATTCTGCTCCCTGTCAGAGAGCATCTTTGGAACATTATGGGGGCTTGTAGGCACTGTGCTGCTCTGATCAGTGGGTAAGGTGGCAGGACCTCTTTGAAACTTCTTCTGCTTTCAGGTCCTCGCTCCCCTCTAACCTGGAGATCAGACGCCTGGATGATGGGGCTGAAGGTGTGTTTGCAGTAACCCAGCTAGTCAAGCGCACACAGTTTGGTCCATTTGAGTCCAGGAGGGTCGCGAAGTGGGAGAAAGAGTCTGCGTTTCCACTGAAGGTAAAAGTTGCATGGGCAGGGACTTTGTGGCTACCTCAGAATCCGGGGCTGCATGACTCCTGATGGGAATGGAATGAGGACATCTGAGGGGTGATGATTTGTAAATCTTTCCTTCACTTCAGTTTGCGTTATTCCTCAGAGTGTGAGGGTTAAGACAATGCCTACTAACTTGTAGGTCTTTAGGGAGTACATTTAAGAGCACACAGGAGTGACCCCATGCTGGTGTGACCCTTGTCCTCCCCCAGCAGGTGCTGTGGCTGCAGCACAGCAATGATCTCTATAGCTTCCTATACCAGTGTGGCAATCTCACTCATGTTTGAGTTGCAGGAAGCTCTCCGAGACTTGAGTGACTGCATGGGGCTAGGTAGCTGCACAGAGCATATCTGGCTGAGGGAGAATGGGTATCTCCAGCTTGGATATAACACCAAGAGAAAGAAAGTGGATGTCAGTTACAGAGATGACTGAGGAGGCTCACACATAGAGCAAACCTTCGGAAATAGTTAGGACCTAAACAAATGAGGGCTGAGTTGCTCCTAGCAGCCCTAAAGACAGTGTGCTTCTTCTGAGACCTGAGAGAAACAGCCACCAACCTTAGGTGCTGTAGCCTCAGAGTTTGGCACGCCTGGGATATTGAGCTTATGGGACAGACTTTTCAGCCAAAGAGGAAAGACAAATACCTGATGACAGATATTAAAAAAAAAAAAACGTAAGGAAAGCATAAAGAAAGGTTCTGTGCTGAAGAATGATGGGAAAGGCCTAAATCTGAGCCCAGAAAGGCAGGTAGCTTAGTGCCCTCTGTGGGCCCACACTGGGTCATCACATGGCTGGAGAAACTCCTTCATGCCTGTTTGACTTCTTTTCACCTCCTCAATTCTAAAGGTTATTTTCGGGTATCAACTTGTCCTTATCCCTGAGCACCTTTGTGTCCCAAGGGAAGCCCTGTGTCCCTGAGAGGAGGGTGGAAATGTCCTTCCACACCCACTAGGGGTCACTGAGCAGCTGGTGGCCTCCAAGTTTTTCCCTGCTGTTCAGGAAAAGCTTGGCAATGGGACAGGGTTCCTAAGGAAGCAATCGTCACTCCACAGGTAGAGAACAGACCCTATACTTGTGCTAACTCAAGCTTAAAGTCACTAAAGGCTCTCCCTGCCTGCTCCCAATTAACCCTGAAGCTGTTCTGATGCTCTTCAGATCAGAGACAGCTTACCTGAACTGAAGAACTCGTCTGATGCCGTGCTTGGTGCAGAACCAGGAGGAAAATTCCAATTTCTGGGTATCTACCTGAGCCATGGGGAGAACTCAGGTGTCCCATTCCCAGTGAAGCTGGGAGAAAATCTCATTGTTATGCTGGACAGGAGGAGAACTCAGGGTCTTCATGATATCTAGAGAGGAGAACTCAGGGTCCCCTCGACATCTGCACAGGAGGAGAACTCAGGGTCCCCTTGACGTCTGCACAGGAGGAGAGCTGAGGGTCCCCTCTATGTCTGCACAGGAGTAGAACTTAGGGTCCCCCTATATCTGCACAGAAGAGCTCAGAGTCCCCTCGATGTCCACACAGGAGGAGAGCTCAGGGTCCCCTCGATGTCTGCACAGGAGGAGAGCTGAAAGTCCCCTCGATGTCTGCACAGGAGAGAGCTCAGGGTCCCCTCAATGTCTGCACAGGAGGAGAGCTCAGGGTCCCCTCAATGTCTGCACAGGAGAGAGCTCAGGGTCCCCTCAATGTCTGCACAGGAGGAGAGCTCAGGGTCCCCTCAATGTCTGCACAGGAGGAGAGCTCAGGGTCTCCTCGATGTCTGCACAGGAGAGGTGTCTTCTTCCCCATCTGGGTCACAAAAGTACTCAGATACTCCAATGAGGAGGGACCTGTTGCATGTCTTCAACTTTTTTGCTGCAACCCACCTTAGCCATCTAAGCCACCAAATCTTTCTCTGATCCCCTGGCTGTGGCAAACAGCTCGTCAGCAGGTCCTATCAGAAGCAGTGTTGTGTCCCCCATCGTCCCATGCCACACTGATAGACTAGTCAGTAACCAGTCTGTGACCCTCCCCTCAGGTATTCCAGAAGGACGGACATTCTGTGTGCTTCGACACTTCCAACGAAGACGATTGCAATTGGATGATGCTGGTGCGACCAGCACTAGAGCCTGGGCACCAGAACCTGACCGCCTACCAGCACGGCAGTGATGTGTATTTCACCACCTCGAGGGATATTCCTGCAGGCACTGAACTTCGTGTGTGGTATGCTGCCTTTTATGCCAAGAAGATGGACAAGCCCATGCTGAAGCAGGCCTGCTCTAGCATCCAGGGTACATCTTATTTCTTCACTGTGGTTGGGCCCCTTGCCAGAGATGCTAATGAAGGTGCCAGCAGCTGAGATGGGGGCAGTGGGATGGAATCGGTGCAGTGCTTGCCCCCATGCCTGGGCCTATGGGGTGACAGAGACAGTGCCTCTCTGTCTTTAGGTGATTTGAGGCACTTGGGTATAAAACAGGTTGGCACTTGCTTTGGTCTCAGGGCTCCCACAGTGGCCCACCCTCCTGGTGCTGTGAGGAAGCACAGAGGGCAGGGACGGCCAAATGAAGGTGAGGCCCAGGACAGGTGACAGTGCAGAACAGCAGTTCTCAAGCCTTCCTAATGCTTTGACCCTTCAGAACAGTTCATGTTGTAACCCCAACCATAAGATTATTTTTGTTGCTACTTCATAACTAATTTTGCCACTGTTATGAATCATAATGTAAATGTCTGGTTTTGAGTGGTCTTAGGCAACTCCTGTAAAATGGTTATTCAAATACCCCCCCCCAAGTGTTTGTGACCCACAGATGAGAAGTGCTGGTGTAGAAGGTGAGGGAACCAGGGACAGGCTGAGTGATTGACAGTATAGAAGGCAAGGCTCAGAAAGCAGTCACATCACAATGTAGAAGGTGAGGGAACCAGGGGCTGGAACAACAGGTCAGGGTGCTGGTACTGCCACTGTGTACTGGATAGCCGCTCCTCCTCAAGTCTGGTTCACGCACATGTATGTATGCGTGTGCCCAGGCAAAAGTGTGGGATGTCTAGACAGATGCCTTGGTGTGTGCATGTGACTGTTTTAAGCTGCAGAGAACATGCTCTTGTGTAGTAACAGATGCACAGTGCCTTTCTGTGTTTACAGATGTGTGCATGCAGATGCACCAATCTGTGCATTTGTCAGCATGTATGCAATTCACAGTACACATTTTGTATTCGTCTAGATGTATAGGTTTGTATATGTGTTAGAGTGTATGAATCGATGGGACTACATACATTGTTAATATATGTAGTCATTTAGAAGTACATACAGATGCACAGGTATATACCTATATTAGCATGTGTGTAGATTTATAGGTCTATGCCTGTATATGCTCAGATGTACAGATGTGTGCATATGCTTGTCTGTAAGTACAGATATACAGGATTGTATGTATATGTATATGCAGAGGTATATGTATGTGTTTGTGTGTGTCCTGTTCATATGCATTCAAGAAATGTAGTTCCGCATGGAGGAATCATTTCGGTGAGCCACTAGGTTCAGGATCTCCTGATGGAGAAGCCAGTCACTGTAGTCACAGTGCTTGCCCTATTAACCTGGGTACTGGGCATCCCCCAGGGAAGAGCCTTGCTCATTGTTGTTACTAAGGGTTTTCAACATCCAAGTGGGTTAACTCTGCTTCTGAACCAGATATAGTGACCTCTCATGAAAATGGTTTCTTCCTGTAGTGTGATAGAAAGGCTTCACGGGGCAGGTCTTAACATCTTGCAAAGATCTTACAGGTGGAGGTTCATGAATCAGAGGGCTCTGTCCTGTGCTGTGTTTATAGTCAGTTGTGGTTTAACTGAATGGAAGAGCCTGAGCCCAGCCTCATAAAGCAGTACAAAAAGAGCCAAGCACAGATATGGCTTCTCCCAGCTCTGGAACCTAGAGACACTTCACTGTGTGTTGGGACAACTTGTAGTAGTGTAGGTCACTGGCTACTGTCACCCAGATGGCAGCTAGAATCTTTATGTCTTTCTATCTTTGGAGCACTTATCTGGCTCTCCCAGGCTGGCTGCTGCTGGCATATGCTCCCCTGGGCTTCCCCACTGACAGTTTAAGTGGCAACTTCCATCACACCTTGCCACCTACCTCTCTGCCCGCCCCCCCGTCTGTCCTTTCCCTAAGTCCCTCTCTGCAGTACCCTCACAGAGTTTGGGCTATGTGCCGAATGCATCCCCCCTTGCAGAAACCATGCATTGCAGCCCTCCTTGCCCACGTCTCAAAAGCCCACAGAGAGCAAGGCCTCTGAAGAGAGGAGTGAAGCATCTAGAAAGCGGTACTGATTGATTAGTTCCCTGGTTGGACCTGAGAGGGATGGACTTTTCATTCTTCTTAGCGCTAGTCCTTGTGTGTGTACCAGAGAGTTTGTCACCCCAAGGTGGAGTGAGTAAGTCTTGTGGACATCACTTTGTCCTCTCCCTAGGTGGGTGAGATCTCAGGAGCTGTACTGTGGGACACGCTTTGGCCTGGAAGGCTCATATGGATGGTCTCCAGCTTCTGATGGGTCAATTTAATGATTTTTTTTTTTTTATGATGGATAGCATGGGTGGAGAACATTGACAAGAAAATCTCTACTATAAGCTTTGGTCTTCCCTCGGCCTGTGATGGGTAGGTGGTAGGATTCTCTGGAGGCTGGACAACTGCAGCTCTCAGTGGTCACATGACCACCAGGAGAACAGCCACACTATTCGCTGTCACAGCGGGGGGTGCAGTAGGCTTGTTATTTGCACTTAACAGCAGCTTCACCAGGCAGCTCTGTGAGTTTAGGAACATCTGCTTAAAGAACACAGGTTTCAACCCAGATGTGGAGGCTCCCACCTTTAATCCCAGCACTTGGGGGGCAGAAACAAACAGATCTGTGTGTTCGATGTCAACCTGGTCTACAGAGTGAGTTCCAGGATGGCCGTAGAGAAACCCTGTCTCAGAAAAAAAAAAAAAAGAAAAAAAGAAAGAAAGAAAGAAAGAAAAAGAAAAGAGAGAGAGAGAGATTGATTGATTGATTGATTGATTATACAGGTTTCATCCTGCTTCAGCTATGATGCCCCTTAAAATGGACTTGGATTCTTTGTTCTGGCTATGGACTGCTATTCTGGGTTCATGTTTCCCTGAGCCCACATTGAGTGGCTTGCTTTCCTCCAAAGGGCATGAACAGGTGGATGTAGTGGAGAGCATGGGCTCAGAATCACCCTTCTCTTGAGAAAGAAGGTAACCTCTTCTAGTCCCTGGAAAGCCATGTTATGCCCGTAGTCTGGCCTGCTTGTCTGTCTGTCTATCTGTCTCCCTGTCTCTCTACCTCTGGCTTCGTGATTAGTGTTCTCTAATTTTCAAACCAGTTTCAATGTATTCAGTTGAACTCAGCTTGTTGAGTACTCACGTCTGGGGCTTTCAGTAGGTGTGCAAGTGTGTGACTCTACCATAGTCTCCTGTAGATTAGCTCATCCTCCCGTCCTGATTTCACCCTCAGTGACCCTCTGCCCCAAGCTGAGCTGCTGTGTGTCCTGCTGGACTTTTCACAGTTGGCCTGTGCCTGCCCTTCTGTTACTTGGTTTTGACTGTACTCACACCTGAAACTTCTCTTCTTATGCTGTCCATGTTGCTGTAAACTTTGTGATTGTGTCACGTTGTTTGGCTGAGCAATTTCCCTGTGTTAGGAAATGTCAGGTGGTACTTAGGGACTCATCTGCTGGCTATTGCCTCTTGGTTTTTTTCTTAGAGAATGTTTTTACCTTGTAAAGTTACCTTTGGGCAAATCTTCTGTCATGTCTGCCTGGTTCTTCCAAAGAGAAGTCTTCACTCAGTGCCAGAGCAGCAGGTACCCAAGATTAGGGGCCTGTTTGGGGCAGCATAAATTCTCTTGTGTGATTGTTGTAGGAGATGGTGTGCCTCTTAGATGAAAGGAATTCCAGCCCAGTGTCCCAAGGGCTCCTTTTTAAAAACTGTGTGTGTGTGTGTGTGTGTGTGTGTGTGTGTGTGTGTGTGTATGTGTGTGTATGCCATGGGGCTAGAGTCAGCTTGTGAGATTTGGTTCTTTCCTTCATCTCATGGGTCCCATTGAACTCAGGTCATTGGGGTTGGTGGCAGGTGCCTTTTCCTGCTGAGCCCTTGCTGGACCCCAGTGATTGCTTTTTTGAACCCCTTCTTGGGAAACTCTTTATGTTTGGGAACCTGGATGAGAAGTGGGAATTTGACTCATTTCTATTTGTTCCCAATTTCCTGGGAGTCCCTAACCAGCAGATCCCTAGAAAGTGGCAAAGAAGAGTTCAGACATTGGGTGGGACATTCAGGATGCAGTTCCTATCTGCCACCTCTTTGTTATCTTTTTCTATCTCTGATTTCAGTCTGACAGGTTCCACATTGCATATGCTTCTTCCCCAGCCGTGATGGTCTGCATCCTCATCTCTATTCTTTGTGTTCTTGGCACTAGCTTAGGATGCAGAGACACGGGATGTGCTCTTTCCTGGTGCATGGTGGGTATATAGCTGCAGATCTGGGAGATTGTCTAGACTCAGGCACTTCCTCTGAGTGGCCTCTGGAGCGTTAAGCTATGTGGTGATGGGTCTGGATATAGCAGGCAAGAAGGGTAGCTGTAAGCTGGCCGCACAGACAAACTGGCTAGACCAGATCTTGAGGCATGCCCAGTGCAGGTCCCAGGAGAATGCCTGTGACTTGGAAAGGAGCTTTCAGTCCCCTCCCCATTTGCATCACCAAGGTTAGTCTGTTCCTGGAGACCCCGTCCTGGTCCCTCCTCGGGTTCCTGTGTGTCATTGGAGGACTAGAGACACTCACTGTCTGGGTGGCATTCTCCTGCCCAAGATGGGAATTATTTTTAATTGAACAATTTTAAAGCTTACTCCTGCCCAGGTACCAGGCTTCCCTGCCAGACAACAGTTATCACAACCCTTATCACAAAAATCTCCATGGGATATGTTGGGCCAGGGCCACAGCCATTTCAGTCTCGAGCACTGTGAGGTGGCTATTTTAGGTCCCACCATACCCTGTTATGTGAGCCACTGAAGATTTAAACATGAGTTGTGTATGTGTGTGTGTGTGTGTGTTGCTATAGAAAGAATTCAGGTAAAGTAGTCTACTTCTGAGCTACACACCCAGCCCCCCTTTAAAGCAAAACAAAATTTTGAGACAGGGTCTCACAAAATGCCAAGTTGTCTTTGAATTTGTTCTGTGACCAGAGTGGGGGCCTTGGACTTCTGGTCATCTTGTTCAGCCTACTAAGTAGCTGGTATTACAGGTCAGCACAATGAGGCCCAGCTCAAGTGTGGGTCCTGAAGGCTTGTTTTTCTCTCAGAGAATATGAAGGACTCTGCTCCCACAAGGCTAGTGATTCAGGGTTGGGGAGGGGCACGTTATGCGTCTGGTGACAGGGCTGACCCTGTGGTAGTCACAGGGATAATACATCTGCCCAGATTCCTCATCTGTAAAATGGGATGAACTTGGTCAGTGTGTGTGAAACTGAGAACAGTGCCTAGAATACACGTGCTCATGAGTCTGGGCATCTCTGTCCTTGTCATCATCACCTAGGAATCAGGCCTTACTCAGCTGCAGTAGCTAACCCTTCTGTCTTATGTCTTGCAGCTACAGGCACCCCTGAGCCCAGTGTCCCCGCAGAACCTGAGCGTGGCCAGTGGGTGTGTAAGGTGTGTTCCAGCCCCTTCCTGGAGCTTCAGCTCCTGAATGGTAAGGAGAAAGTGGCAAATAGGGGTTACCCGAGGTGGGCATACTGTTGTGTTGAGCTCGCTCTTTTTTTCTTTCTTCTTTCTCTTTATTTCTTTTTGTTGTTGTTGTTTGTTCATTTTTTTGGTTTTTCTTTTTTGTTTTGGTTTTTAAAAATTGTCTTTATTAGCCGGGCGGTGGTGGCGCACGCCTTTAATCCCAGCACTTGGGAGGCAGAGGCAGGCGGATCTCTGTGAGTTTGAGACCAGCCTGGTCTACAAGAGCTAGTTCCAGGACAGGCTCCAAAACCACAGAGAAACCCTGTCTCGAAAAACCAAAAAAAAAAAAAAACAAAAAAAATTGTCTTTATTATATGTACATTGGGATTTTGGCCTATGTGTATGAAAGTGTCAGATCCCCTGGAACAAGAGTTACAGACAGTTGTGAGCTGTAATGTGGATGCTGGGAATTGAACCTGGGTCCTCTGGGAAAGTAGCCAATGCTCTTAATTGCTGAGCTATCTCTCCAGCCCATGTGCTGAGCTTTTTCATGCATGTTGGCTCATGCCCATGGTTGTCAGGATGTCGCAGGCTTTGTATTGTCTGTCCCCATGGCCCACAATGGTGGAGCTGCTACTCAGAGCTCCTCCCCTTGGCCTGACTCTCCCTACTGTCCTATTGACCAAGCTCTGGATATGGTGGACACAAGCAAGGGCCAGAAACAATGATGACTTGCCTCTTATAGTCCTGCCAGGTTTCTGTATCTGACGGTTCTTCCCCCGTGTGGTGACAGGGCTGACCCTGTGGTAGTCGCAGGGATACCACATCTGCTCAGCTTCCTCATCTGTAAAATGGGATGAACCTGGTCAGTGTGTGTGAAACTGAGGACAGTTTCAGGGAATCCCATTACCTCAGGCTCCCTTACTAATTGAAGGTGGCCAGGGAAAAATTGACTCCATCCCCTAGTTACCTAGTTATACTGTATCCTGGGAGCCTCTTTGGTGGGCCATAGAGAAAGATGCCAGTCACAGAAGCTACAAGGAAGCTAGGTATGAATGCTGTGACTTTTATCACATACAGAACATGCTTGAGAGCCAAACCTCAAGGGGCCACTGCTTTGCAAGTTCTGAACAAGTCTGTGATGGAATGTTCTGGAATCGATGACAATGTTCTTTCTAGGCAGATTTTAGCAACAGAAAGGCTAATCTTGGGCAGTCCTTGTTCTTCTAAGGAGTGAGGCTGTCTGTTCCTATGTTCCTGGGCCATCCTCCTAATCTTGTCGTTAACACTTTTGCCCTCTGCCTGGGGAAAGTCACCTGTATTCATCACAGATAGGAGCAGAGAGCACCTGCCAGTTTCTTCTTCCTTCTCCTCTTCTTTCTTCTCCTCTTCTTCTTCTTTGTATTTATTTTTATGTGTAATATTGTTTTGGTTGCATGCATGTCTGCACCACATGTGGGCAGTGCTCATAGAGACCAGAAGAGGGCATTAGAGCCCCTGAAACTGGAGATGCAGAGGGTTGTGAATGAACATGTAGGTGCTGAGACATGAACCTTGGTCTCTGGAAGAGCAGCAAGAACTCCTGGCCAGTGAGGCATCTCTCTAGCCCCATTTGCTGCTGCTGCCAGGTTAGAGTGCCAGGTTTGTGAAAAACATGCCCCCTAGATGAGGGCAAGGCCCATCTGTGGAAACCGGAGGGTGGGGGCATCACACTTTCACTCAGCCCCAATCAAGAAAGGCTTGATTGCTGTTTGGTTTGCTGGGGCATTTTCTATGCTGACTAGTTTTAGTTGAGGGAAAAGCTTCCCCTCACTTTGGTAGTAGAGCTAGGCCAGTGTTCCCAGAGGGTCAAGGAACTCTTCTTTCTTCTGCAACCCCTGTGTGGGTGTCTGGTGGGTAACCTGATAGTTACCCTAGGTACAAAACTGATGAGAGAGAGAGAGAGAGAGCAGGGGTGCCTTTTGTCGCCCCCCCCCACATACACACAGACTGGCTTTGAGGACATCTCAGGGCCACATGACATGGCTGCGGTACACAGATCTATGGAGAGCAGGCTTCATTGGGTAATACTTTGTCCAGTAGGAGAATGTTAATCAATAGTCCCTCGTCTTAATTATGCTCACACTGTCTGAAGCTGCCTTCTATAGAGCTTTGTCTGACAGGCTTGCCTCAAGCAGAAAGGCTCTGCTCCCTCAACCATGTTAACTACCATTAGAAGTAATGCACAGAATACTATACCCGGTCATTTTATATCTGGTATCTGCTGGTGTGTGGTGTGCCGAATGCCCCTAGCACATACTAGTAATAAAATGACCAAGGATAGCAATCTGTGTGTTACTTCCACTGGCAGTAACATGATTGAGAGAGTGTCTGTGGTTGGCTGACTTCCAATCAGATGAGTCCTTTGAACTTGAACTTACTTCATGCATTTATTTGTGACTGAGCATAGAACATAATATAAACTATGGCCAGGTAAGACTCAACATGTACCCTTTAAAGTCAGGCTCACCACTCAAAACACCAGGAGACAGCTGAGGTTGTTGAATAGCATGGGAAGCACAGGTTGTTCTTCTTGACCTTTGACCTGATGCTGTCACTTCCTGTGTCCCCTTAGGGAACCCTGCTTCTGTCTCAGGAGGCCACTTAGGAGTGTCTGATTAAACATGAGGCAACAGTGAATGTCCTGGCCTTGGTGCCCTCCTGGAATTCTGCTCCACGTCAATGCAAAGACAGAGGGGAAAGTGGGGAGCATTGAGCAAGGTTAAAAAGATGCCAGGATATGTTTGCAGCAGCATTAACCCAAGCATGCCAGAGAAGCTGAAGCCAGCAGTGAGATACCCAGGAAACATGTCTGCTCGTGCAGAGCTTAGAAAATACAGGGAAGCACAAACTAGTGGCCTGCTCAGAGCCCTGGTCTCCTGGTCTGCCCCAGCCCTGCCCTGCCCCACCCACCTACATTTCTGCTCCATCAGCAGAATGTTGGGTCCCTTGGGAGAGACTTGAGACTGAGGACAGGGACTCAAGAGTCAGGTGTTGGAATCTGGGCAACTTCAGACTTCTTCATTTTCTTCTCAGAGTGGTGGAACTGGCTCAGACCCCAGATAGGGAGGACGGATTTCTCTGTAGAAACTAACCAGGGAGAGCAAGGACCCACCAGTGGGACTGCTCAGCCCTTACCATCCTGTAGAGTGAGGCTCCAGATGCTGGAAGAAGACTGTGAGCAAGAGACCAAACAACTTGTCTGAGGTCTGAAAACAACCCTTCCCCCTAACAAACCCCTCCAGGCTGAAGTCTCACTCAGGTGAGAGATGGCAGCACAGCACTGCGTCCTTCAGTAAGAGCATCGTTGAAGATATCAGAGGACAGTAGTTACTAAAAATGAAAGCTGGTAGCAGACATAAAGTTACTGGGAGAATTTTCCATACAGAGGAGCATAAGAAGGACACAAACAGAAGAGATATGGGAACCGGAGGATGGTCTGAGACTCTGCAGGTGTCTAGGAGTATTCTGTAGGGAAAAGGGAGAGGACTGCGCATGTAGCTCAGTTGATAGGATGATTGCCTAGCATCACAAGCTCTGAAATCAATTCCCACCATCCCTAAAACAGACATGGTAGCACATTCCTGTCATCCCAGTCTTCAAGAGGCAGAGGCAGGAGGACCAGGAGTTCAGAGTTATCCTCAACTACATAGCAAGTTTGGGTGTACCTTGGGTAACGCAAGATCCTATCTCAAAAAAAAACCAGATAGATAAATAGCAAGGAATTACTAAAGGATGCAGGTTTACAACCAAGAAGGGCCCAACAGGCCATCAGTATGACAAGTCCACAGATGCACCTGCACCATTGTGAGACCTAACCACACGAATTACAGGAAAGAAAAAAAGCTGTTGGAGGATAAGCCATTAGGGCATCGTTAAGACAGGAAGGCAGACTTAGCCATCAGATTTTTCACTGTCAGTAACCTGGTGAAGGAAGATATTTACAAATCCAGAAATTTCCAAGCAGGACCAAAAAATGTAGTGAGGAGAACCCTGGAGTATGCAAGCTGTCCCCATCAGGCCACTTGACGAAGACATTGCCAACCACACAACACTGGACTCCAGAGCTCAAATGCGTGGCTTCTGAGATCCCAGCACCTCTATTGAGTTTTACAGTGTTGCCCTGCCCAACACATAGGGAACGGGAAGAGGGTCCTTTGTGGGGAATGAAAGAAGATGACACAGGTCACCAGCCCAAAGTAGTGAGAGCAGAAAGCAGTGGGAAGAACAGTGCTAAAGGAGAGAGATCAAAAAGTAACTGAGGGGAGCGAGGCAGACATGGGGCAGCGACTAATGGAAGAAAAGGCTGTGATTAGCTCTAAGAGGAAAAACGTTAGCCACAACTGCCGTGTGTGGATAGATCTTTATGGCCAAGGTCTCGCAAATATCAGTTGGCTTACACCAAAATGTGATCTGCGTCTGTTGGTGGGATTGCGAGGAGTGAGGTCTAGAAAGGAAGCAGCATGTATAAGAAAGTAGAACCCCTTTGTTTTATTTTAAGTCATCAATAGGCACTGTCTAATATATATAGTCAGACCTTTTTACCCGTGGCACCCTCATGCCAGCTTTTAAACAAAAGCTGTGTACCAAAAATGATTTGGAAATCATGAGTCTTTATTGAATATGTACAGTATTTTTTTCTTGCTGTTATTCCCTGAATATAGAGCAGTAACCTTTTACATAGCATTTTTACTGCATTTTTATATTTTGAGTGATAATATGTATGGTATGTGTGCTGGCTTTTGCAAATACTGTGCCATCCATTTTTTGTAAGGGGCTTGGGTGTCTGTAGGTATTGATAGCCTTGGGTTCCTGGAATTATCCTCTGTAGTTGTAGATGGGTGACTGGAGAATACAGAGGAATGGATGGGCAGAGTGGGGCAGGAGACTGCTGTTTTCTGTTGTGAGCCAGTCACAAAGTTATTTGTACCTTTCTCATTGGACTTTTTTTTTTTTTTAACAATATTGTGAGTCTTTTCAAGGCAGCAACTTTGGGCTTCACTTATTTCGTACTGCATTTTTATTTTGAAAAATAAACTTCTGCTTATTTATCATCTCTTTTTGGGCTTTGGAACAGGGTTCTATGTAGCCCAAGCTGGTTCTGCACTTTCTCTGTAGCTGAGGATGACCTTGACTTCTGCTTGACTTCCTAAATGGTGTCTCCATGCCTGGCCCCTTTTTATGCTTTGTTTGTTTTGTTCTTTTCTCAGCTTGAGTTGAAGGCTTCACTCAGTCATTATTAAGTATTTTTTTTTTAATGGAAGCATTGACTTTTTCCTGAAGAGCTGTGCTAGCTTCTGTCTGTGTTTTATTCTACATTGCATCTAAATTCATATGCACACCATAACATAGTCTAGAAATTCATCAAGCAAAGACTGACAGCTGTATGAGGAGAGATCGCACCACCTCCTCTTACAGAAGACTTCTACTATAAGCAGCTAGTTAATAAATCAAGAACAGATTTGAGGAGTGTGCTGGGCAGACTTAGGCCTGTGTGAGTGCAGCGTCAGAGCTGGTGTGCTTCTCTCATGCAGTTTTTAAATGATGTATTTATTTATATTTTATGTTCATTGGTGTTTTGCCTACATGTATTTCTATGTGACGGTATCATGAACTGGAATTAGTTGTCATCTGTCGTGTGAATATTGGGAATTAAACTCTGGGACTCTAGAAGAGCAGCCAGTGCTCTTAACCGCTGGGCATTAATTTACTGATTTCTGAGACAGGGTCTCACCTTGAACCTGAACTCTTGTCCGTCTGCTTTACCCGTCTGAGTTCTGGGATTACACACGTGACATCGCATTGTTTGTGCTGGGCATCAGACGCGGGGCTTCATGTGATCCAGGCAAACTCTCACGGCTGCACTTACCCCTAGCTCTTGCTCTCCTTTTATTTACTCTCCTTATTTGGACTTTGGACCTGAGGAGTCACAGCTTCCATCTACTGTGGGTGACTCTGACTGTGGCTAACGTTGCTTCCCTCTGCTTTCTGTTCTCCCTGAGAGAACTCTGAAAACCCCCTTTAGACCATTTTCTAGTGTTATGCCCACATCTCCTGCCCTCCCTCTCCTGTTTTTAGGTCCTTGTCACTTGTCCATTTTTGGGGTTTCCACTTAAAAGGTTCCTTTTTCAGTAGTGTCTAAGTCATGTTTTTAATTTGTATCTATGAGTCTTAGACTTATAAAAGCTTTTTGCTTACTTTTCTTACTTGTTTGCTGTTTTTCAGTCATCTTAGTCTTTTTCCCAAACTTTTTATTCTTTACTTGGTTATATCTGTCCCCTTCAATCCAGTTTGCCCTTAGCTTGTACTGTGATTTTGGAATTCCAGTCATCTGGTTTTTATGTCAGCTGATACCCTAACATGATACCCTAACAGTTGTTTTGTTGCTAAGCTTTCTGGGGTGTGGTGGGTCACTACTTTGGGTTCTGTTGCTTTGATGATGTGCTCAGCAAGAATTCTTCCCTTTTTCCTCTCCATTGTGTGCTTTTCCCATTGCCTGGGAAAGTGTTAGTACAGAGTACAGGGTGCTTTTTTTATTTTATTTATGTTTTCTTTTCTGAACTTCATAGTTGAGGTTTTATTTCTTACTAGGACGTGACGTGGAGGGGTATGGTATGGCTTTGGCTTCAAGGGGTTTGTTTTGTTTTAGCTTGTTTAGCTTGACTGGTATATATTTGTGTTTTATACCCCTACTGGGGCTTTGGTTCTTTATGAGAGTCATTTTATACCACCTGCCCTTCAGGTGACAATAGTTGGCTTAGCAGGTAAAGTTGCTTGCTTCCAAGCCTGACCACCTGATTCAATCCCTGGGATCCATGTGGTGGAAAGAGAGAACCAACTCCCACAGTTGTCCTCTGATCTCCGCTTGCGTGCCATGACCCAAGCACACCTGCACACACAATAAATAAATAAGCATGAAAGTAAATAAATGGATGATGATACCATTGCAGAGAACAGCTTTCTTTCTGTTTCCTTGGGTCACTTAAGCCCAGAGGAATCTTGATGAAAACAAGGCTTTATTGACTGTCTCAGAGCCTAAGCCATATGTAACATTCGATCTCTGTTGTGCCAATACATGAGCCTAGTGTAGAATGAATCCATGTCTCCTATCCAGACTCCATGTAAATTCTATGTTGCTCTGTGCCTGGATTTAGAGTAGACCCAAGTCTGTCTCTCAGTCCCCAGACCCTGTGATGACTTGTGATCTTGTCTTTACAACCAATGACCTGAGAGACCCCAGGCTCTCAAATTTTCCTCTTGTATGTCCTTCCCTTCGTTTTAAGTTCCTTCTGTGTAGTTGGCAGAGTCTTGTTTGCTTTCTTTTAATACTGCTCAGCTTGTATTTTCCAGGTGTGTGTTCTGTTTTGTCTCACCTTCCCCCATTCATTTTCAGTCAGTGGGCTTGGCGTAAGCTTGTTCTGCTAGCTACCAGATCATGTCAGCCTTGGGGCCACCCACCTAGCATAGAGTCTCTGATGAAGGACAAGTCAGGAATAATGGCTACTTGGCTTGATACTGTTGCAGAGGAAGGAACCACCAACTCCAGGCACAGTGGTACTTTTGTCATGTGTGTGCTTAGTTACCCGCTTTCCCTGCCACTTCCTCTTCCTGTTACCTGGTACCTGTGACCTAGCCATATTTGTCCACTATCTCCCAAACTTGCCATTCCATGTGGTACCTGCCTGTCTGTTCCCAACATCTGTCTCCATTACCTTTTCCTGGGTGGTCTTGGAGACTTTCTGTTAGCTATAAATAAGCAAAGCATTTTGCTTTATTGTAGGGTTTGTAAAGAAATGTTTAGCTGTGCAGTGGTGGTGTACACCTTTAATCACAATACTTGGGAGGCAGAAGTAGGTGGATCAAGACCAGTCTGGTCTACAGAGAGAGTTCTAAGACAGCCAGGGCTACACAGAGAAACCCTGTCTAAAGGAAAGAAGTCAGTTTACCGTGAGTGCTCTGGAGGTGCTTCTGTCTTAGTGTGCCGCATTCTATGGGACAGTTAGAAAACACAAACTATCAAGGAAGCAAGTCAGAGTTGCCCATAGTTTCATCAAGCACTGCACCAGAGTGTGGACATTGCCTCATGCACTGCCTCATAGTAATACCATATCCTGCCTGTGTCTCATTTACTTCTAAGCAGAGTTCCAGGATGGGGGATGTGGCCCAGGTGACAAGAGGAAGGCTGGCATGCAGGAAGCCCTGGGTTTGAGCTATAGCACTGTGTAAAACTGGGCATGGTGGCTTTGCTTAGTTTTAACACTTGAAGGTGGAAGCAGAAGGATCAGAAGTTGAGGACAGTCTGCCAACACGGTTTAAGCTGACAGCTCAGGGGGCTGGAGAGATGGCTCAGTGGTTAGGAGCATTGCCTACTCTTCCAAAGGTCCTGAGTTCAATTCCCGGCAACCACATGGTGGCTCACAACTATCTGTAATGCGGTCTGGTGCCCTCTTCTGACCTGAAGACATACACATAGGCAGAATATTGTATGCATAATAAATAAATATTTTTTTTAAAAAAAAGCTGATAGCCCAATTTGAAAGTTCAAAATCTGGCCAGGCAATGGTGGCACACAACTGTAATCCCAGAATGCAGAGGCAGGCGAATCTCTGAGTTCAAGGCCAGCCTGGTCTACAGGGTGAGTTCCAGGATATCCGGAGATACACAGAGAAACCTTGTCAGATAAGAGAAACTCCTTCTAAAGCTCTATGCATGTGGTAGAGCCATTTCTCTTTTAAAACAGTGAAGACTAAGTTTTTTACCTGTGCAGAGGCCGCACTCAGCAAATACAACAAAGAAAACCAACACTGGGGAAGGTGGTGAGCAGGCAGGTGCACGACTCCTACTCTGTCATCAACAGCCCTTCTCCTCTTGCAGAGCATCTCCTGGGCCACCTGGAGCAAACCAAAAGCCTTCCTGCAGGAGGCCAGCAGCATGAGGCAGCTTCTGAGAAGGAGCCTGATACACTCAGAAGGGAGCCTCCCATCGCAGCTGAGAGCAAGAGCATCCAGAGTGTCGTGGCCACCAAAGAGCCAAAGAAAAAGCCTCGAAGAGGGAGGAAACCAAAAGCATCCAAGGTTGAGCAGCCTCTGGTCATTATCAAAGACAAGGAGCCTACAGGTGAGAAGCTGATGAGCTGTGTGCCAGGGTGGGAGGTATGTACCTCATCATCATGGGTGGCCATGTTGGCAGGGAGGGCTCATGAGGTAAGGTCTTGTCTCCTCCACAGTCCCTCAGCCAGCTGTTAAGAGTGTGATTATCTTGCAGAACACTAGAGTTCAGAACACAGATTTTAAAAATAGACATCTGACTAGGCTTTGCCGTATCAGTCTGTTTTTGTTTTGTTTTGTTTTTCTTTCTTTTGTTATTTTTTGAGGGGAGGGGAAGGCTTTGTTTCCTGACAGTCTTGCTAAGGCTGACTTCAAGCTCAGTATGTAACCCAGGCTGACTTTGAACTCTCGATCCTGCCCACTTAGCCTCTCTAGCTGGGATGGCATGCCGGTGCTACCATACATCGCTTGTGTGTGTGCTTCACAGTCTCAGGTGTACGCCTTGTCCATGCCATGCTTGTCTGGCCAGCTCTTCTGTTTGTCCAGCAGGACTTAGTTTTTCATGTGAGTTCCCAGTATTTGTTGCCCACTGCTTATGGGTGGACAAGTTGCTGGTCATGGCCCTGGCTATTTCTAGTGTGTGTGTGTGTGTGTGTGTGTGTGTGTGTGTGTGTGTGTCTGTGTGTGTGTGTGATATACAAAAGCCAGAGGATAATTTTGTAGTTCTCTTTTACCTCTGTAAGGGCTCCAGGGATGGAACTCAGGGTTCTGGCTTGCACAGTAGGTATTTTTACCACTAAAAATTCAGTCTCTTAAAATCCAAAGTGTCTGTAAAATTCCAAAATCCCTTTTAAAATTCTCTGAACTGTGGGAGCCTATAAAATCAAAATTAAGTTAAATACTTCCTTATTTTGAAAGGAAGAGTCAGGGCACAATCATAATCTGAACAAAGCAAAACTAAACTCCAACAGTATAAATAGTTCAGTGTCCAATATCTGGGGTAACTCACGGTCTTTTGGTCTCCTCCAAAGGGCTTGAGTAATTTCTCTGGCTCTACCCTCTGCAGCACACACAGCCTGTCTTCCTGCTTCCAACAGGCTCCACTCTATGGCTGTTGTTCTTGCATCTCCAATTTGCTGGGTCTCTTGCTACAACTGGGCCACACTTTCACCAATAGCCTCTCCCAGGCTCTCTGCATGTTGGCAAGCCTCATCTTCTCTTCCTGGCCCCTTCAGTCCTGGGTTTTCAACCACTGCCGAGGTTGCACTGTCACCAATGGTGTTTCCTGGTCTTTTACAGTGCCAAGCCTCAACTGTTTGTTCTCCCATGACTCCTTCATATTTTCAAAACCAGTGTCTTACACCACCCAAGTTTGGCTGATAACAGGAAATACAACCTTGCCTATCTCTGAAACACAGCTTCTGTGTCCTGTCTCTGAGGAACACTTCCCAGATTTCCCCTCGGTGATGCCGGTTTCTTCCTTCTCATCCCTATTTCCTTGCTCCAGCTGACTACCATCAGTTGTCCCAGTAAAGGCAAAGAAAGGTTTTACTTCAGTGACTCTGATCCCTTGTTTATATAGCTGACTCTTGAACCACAGATTCCCAACTCAAAATAGCAAATAGCCCTGATACATTTTTAAGGGACTTTCAAACTTCCTTCTGGAACTCTCAAGCCAGTGGTCCATCTTTGGCTTCTCTCTCAATATTCTTCCAAGTTCCCACAGAAAAGTTCACCAATCTTTGAACACTCAATGACTTTTCTAGCCCAACGTTCCAAGGTCCTTCCACAATCCTCCCCCAGACAACATAGTCAGGTCTGTCACAGTAATACCCCATGATCCTGGTATCAGTTTCTGTCCTAGTTAGGGTCAATATTGCTGTGATGAAACACCATGACCAAAGCAATCTGTGTGTGTTTAGGGGGGCGGGGTATTTGGCTCATACTTCCATATCAGTATCAATCACTGAAAGAAGTCAGGACAGGAAGTCAAACAGGGCAAGAACTGATACAGAGGCCACGGAGGGGTGCTCCTTATTGACTTGCTCCCTATGGCTTGCTCAGCAAGCTTTCTTACAGAACTCAGGATCACCAGCCCAGGAATAGCACCACCTACAGTGGGCTGGGCCCTCCCTCATCAGTCACAACTTAAGAAAGTACTCTACAGCAGGATCTTATGGAGGCATTTTCTCAAATGAGGGTTCCCTCCTTTCAGACTACACTAGCTTGTGTCAAGTTGACATGAAACTAGCTAGCTGCTGCTTTGAACCATTTCATGAGCCTCAACTTGTTCTTTGATTGTGCAGAACCCTCAGCTGAGTTTGAAGGGATCCACTTCATAGCATGAACATGTCTCTGGAAAACCATTGTCTCTGTGGTCCTCATGTAACTCCCTGTCCCAGCTGCCCGCTTCTCTGCTGCTAGGTCCACCTCACATTCAGGATAAGGTGTAGTGCTCAGATGTCTCTCCCTTCTGCCTGTGTTACTGGCACTGGATGCTCTTGTCATTGTGGAAATGAAAAGCAAGCTTGAAATGAAAGGGAATAGAAGAGCAGTTTCTGTGGAGCATTCCCCACTGTTCCTGTTTCCTACTCTCTGGCCAGTGCCTGTTCTCTAAGCCATGTGGGAAATACTTGCACATGAGCAGGAGTGGTTTGAGCTCCCTCTGGGACTTCCCTGCATCTGCAGACAGAAAGGGACAGGAGGAACTACTTCCTGGCTATCACAATTGATGATAGTAGGAGAAATAATAGAAACCTGTGGCTCCAGTTATCACAGAGAGGCTCCTGCCAGCAACTGATGGGAGCAGATGCAGAGACCCGCAAGCTAAACATTATAGTGGGTGGAGAGAGAGCCCAGATTGGAGAACTCCATTGGGTCCCTCCCCTTGGTACTAGGGGAACCCCGAAGAAGAGGAGGAGGAAGAACTGTAGGAGCCAGAGGGGTCAAGGATACCAGGAAAACACAGCCCATAGAATCATGGCTAGAATTATAGCTCTTGGGAGATAGAAGGATTAAGTATCTTACATAGTAAATTCAAGGGCAGTCATGGCTACATGAGACCCTATTTCAAACAACAACAAAACTCACAATGGCTGAAATTTTCTTCTGTATGATCTTCCTGTGTGTGAATTTTTATCCCATTTCCGGCATGGCCCTGAACGGAATGTTTACTCACCTTTGAATGTCCTCAAGATGACTTGTCGTACTTGTAAATCTCTGCCAGAGCTTATTTAGTAAGCTTCACGGTCTGGCTGCATACCCATCTGCTGTATGTCAGTAGTGTCCCGGGCAGGGGCAGGAGACGCTTGGGCTTTGCAGGTGTGGCCTGTAGGTTTGGCTTCCATTAAAAACATACTTTCTTTGTATATAGATAAACACTTAAGTTCTGAGATGCTCTGCTTTTATCCCTGTTGCACCCACACTCAGGATGTGCGGCCAGGGGCAGTGCTTCTCCTGGATTTGTCACAATCTGTCCCTACGCTGGTGGTGACCCTTTTGTCATACCTTTCACAGAGCATGTGGCAGAGATCATTACCGAAATACCCCCAGATGAGCCTGTGAGTGCAACGCCAGACGAACGGATAATGGAGTTAGTCTTGGGGAAACTGGCCACCCCCACAAATGAAGTCAGCTCGGTGCCAAAGTAAGTCCTGCTTGTGTGCAGCTGGTGCTTGGGGACGGAGCACAGGGAACAACTAATTGGTACTGCAGGGAGAGCGCCTCCCACCTCTAATCCCCACAGATGCTGCGCTTCATCTTTTCAGGCCAGCAGTGTGTGTTCTGGAGCCCGAGGGTTTCATAGTCCATTCACTGTGAAAGCTTTTGTCTTAAAACACACATGACAGACAATTTACCGTCACAACTCTTTTTAAGGGCACGGTACAGAGACATCCCCCAAGCCTTTATCTACCCAAACTGGAACTGCCCCCAGTGCCCACCATTCTGCCTGCATTCATTCCTACTCTGTGTCCCCCATGCCAGTAGGGCACACAGTGCTTGCCTTCTGTGAATGGCATATTTTATTCAGCACATGCCCCTCTGTGTCAGTGCGTATCCAGATCTCCTCTGTCAGGCTGACTGATGCTACACTGATGCATGCACCTGCTTTGTCTGCTCCCCCACGGGGGCTCCTGGCGGCTTTGCCCCAGCAGTGTGAGCGGTGCTCCTATGGTTCAGCAGTGGCTTGTGTTTGAATTTTAGTCAGTTTCACACCTTGCTCTACTTTCTTTTTTTGTGAGCAAGGGAAAGAAATGTTTATGCCGCAGTTATGATTCCCTGGTGAGTTTTTACCCTGAAGTTGACTCAGCTGTTTTCTATGCCCTTTGGAGTTGGCACAATTCACCTGATGAACCTGTGAAAATGTGGACATGTTTATTATTTCTTTTCTTTGTTACTGCCCAGAGGATTTCAAGCACTTGACAGAAAAAGCACACTTTTTTCTGTGGGACGAAGAAATGGTTAGAAATCAGGTTCAGAGTCAGCGTAAAACAGAGTAGAGTTGAGACCAAGTGAGGGCGAGAGCCACAGTCAGGGCTGCCTTGTTTGGGACAAATGGAGCTCAGGCTTCCTGGCTGAAGCAGATGAGCTGCACAGCTGTTAGATGGCACTGAAGCCACCATTCATGTGCTCAGAGTGTCTGTGCTACCCGGGAGCGGGTGACGTCAGGTTCTGCCTTCCTTCTCCTTTTCCTCATGGACCAAGTGTAGCTGGGAAATGGCCAAGGACCTTCCCAGGTGACTGTGATCAGAAACTTTCACTCTGAGAACCCATCTTGACCCTCTGTCTGTCTCCTGGACAGGTTCACACATCATCCAAGCAGCGCCATTGCCCTCAAGAGGGGCTTGGTTCTGTCCAGCAGACACGGCATCAGGCGGAAGCTCGTACGGCAGCTGGGTGAGCATAAACGAATCCATCAGTGTGGCACCTGCAGCAAGGTCTTCCAGAACAGCAGCAACCTGAGCCGGCACGTGCGTTCGCACGGTGAGTGCGTGCACGGTGAGTGCCTGCCCAGCCCACGGGGCAGGGCCAGGAGAGAGCATGGAGCTGCCGCAAGGGGTAGCCCTGTGGCTGCCGGTGCTCTTCAGCATTGGGGGCACCCAGCCCAGGCCGAGGGCTTATGTTTCAAAGATGGGTGCAGCTTTCTGAGAGGCCAAAGCAGTGAATCTGCCTTCTGCTGGCTGATTCCTTAGGTGACAAGCTGTTTAAATGTGAGGAATGTTCGAAGCTGTTCAGCCGTAAGGAAAGTCTAAAGCAACATGTCTCCTACAAGCACAGCCGGAATGAGGTAAGTGGGCACCTAGACAGCTGGCTGAACAGCTGTTTCCTAGAGGAGGCGCCATGGGGGACGTCCTGTCGTGCCCCCCAACGTATTCTGAGCCCAGCTTAGGCCAGTGCTTACAGAAGCAATTGGGAGAACACAGGTGACTGGCATTTGGGGTTATCTTTCTCAGGCAGTTGGACAGCAGGATTTTTTCTACTAGAACAGGGGAGGAAAACTGTGGTGCAGCTACCTCTAGAAGTTACTAGAACAGCACACACCAGGAGGGCCTCTATGATGAACTCATGCAGTCTTCCTTACTGACAGTGTGCCCCTTTGAGCAGGTGGATGGTGAGTACCGCTATCGCTGTGGCAGCTGTGGGAAGACCTTCCGCATGGAGAGTGCCTTGGAATTCCACAACTGTAGGACAGGTGAGTCCCCACCCCCAGCCACCTGCCCTGCATGTTGGGTGGAAGGGTCCCATTGAACAGACAGCTGCCTTGGCTGGCATCTCCCTGATCCTCTTGCCTCCAGGACTGTGAAGAATAAAATTGTTCAGCCGTTAGAGAAGACTTGAGCAACTTTCCGTTAGTCAGGAAGGGATGGGTTGTCTCATGTCCGTTATACATTCTCAGACCCTGCCTGAGGTCACCTTGATGTGGGACCTTCATCCTTGCTGACAGGGTGAGCAGCTGTGTTGGGTTTGTTCTAGAAGCGTGTGAGAGAAAAATGCAGCAGCATGGCTTAAGATGGGAAAGCCTTTCCTCCCACATCAGCATCCTGCAAGTGTGTCCCCTGTGGGCACCCAGACAGGTTATTACATCCTGAGCCTGCCTCCATCTGCCGCTCTCCAAAAGGAAAGTGGAAGCCATCTTTGTACGAGGCCGGAAACTGCTGTGTTTTGAGCTGTCCCTGTTGGCGAGACAGCTGTGGTTGTAGAGCCCAGGGTGCTCTCAGACACTGTCTCTTGTGCAGTTTATAGTTGGCAAGTGTGAGTGAGCAAGCAGCAAGTTGGCCAAGGGGTGGAAGCTCCCTGAGGCCTGGATGCCCTGTGCTCCAGAGAGGCAGTTCTAGGTCCACTAGTTCCCATGCAGCCAAATCACCAGAGGAGGGTGGAGGGAAGATCACCAGTGCCTTCGTGTTCTCCCTCTTACTAGGACTTAATTAATCAAGCAGTAGAGACCTACAAAGTCAGCCTGTGACACTCTCCACTCCTGCGGTTGTGTGTCTGTCCATGCTTTTGCTCACTTGTGGATATCAGAGTCTCTATCAAAATTGGTTCCATGTCTGGCTGGTTTCTTCTGTCTTCAGCGTGATGCCTTGCTTACTAGGACAAGGCTGTTGTGAAGGGCAGGCCAGGCAGGTTTCTGGAGGACACTTGTCAGTGACATGTACCACCTAGCCAGTTCCTAAGCAGCATCGGTAGTGTGCCTATGAGAATCTGGGCATACTCCTAGCTGTTTCCACTGGGTGCAGCCTCGGGCATACTCTTTGTTAACTGGGATTAGCGCCACCTTCCCATTGTTCCTCAAGGAGATGCAGAGTGGGCCGAGAGTTAGACCAGCTTGATATTAGGTTGCATTAGAAACCGAAAAGCACTTGTTACATCTAAGTTAATGATTCTTTTTTCTAAACGAGTAGAACAGAAAATGAAGAAGCACTTGCTGTGTATTGGTTAGAACTGTCACATCAGACACTTGTCTCTGCTAGGTACTGTGGCACTGATGAACCGCAAGCAGCTTCTCTCCTGAGACTGATTTCAGGGCTGAGAGACCCCATGGCGGCCTATTTACACATGCTCATGTCTTTTGTGGTATGAAGTTAGTAGAACATTCATCCTCGAAGGATTTATACAGCCAGGGCTGGGTGCTTCAAGTGTGCAGTGGGCAGACATTTCTCCAGCCCACTCTGTCAAGCCTGTTTCTGTGCCTCCAGTGCATTGCTGTCACTCTCATTCACATGTTTGCTGTGCTACCATTGAACCTAAAGAGGCTCCCAGCAGTGGCTCCCTCACAGTTCACTCTTGTCCTCTCAGTACATGAGCCCGTTGTTTTCTTTAACAAAATCGCAATTGTTCAATTTTACCAGTAAAGACTCCTGAGACAAGTTTTCCTGGGGTGAAAACTTGCTAGCTCAGAGAGAAAGAGAAAACCCTCCCTGACCCTCTCCACCGACATCCCAGAAGCTCTGTTTCTACTCCATCTCCAACCAACCTTCTTAAACTGAATGTCCCTCCCTTTTACTTCCTATGGGTCTCTATCTGTCCTCCCGATTCCCTCTTACTCTCTCTGTTTTGTTTTGGTTTTTTTTTTCTTAATAATCTTGACTTCCTGTCAGCTGGTTGCTCCACCACTTGACCTTTAATTAACTTTAAGCTCTTGGACTAAAGGTCTGTGCTAGGGCTGAGCAACACCACAACTAGAAACAGGTTTTTCCAGTAAATAATGCAATCTCAGGGTTCACAGTGTGGTCAAATATTCTGCAACATTAGTCCCTCGTCCTTTACCAGATTCCAAAGCACTACCTTCAGGCCTTTGGTGTCACTACATACCTCCATAGTGACTGGATTACTGGGGGGAAGAGGGGAAGTCATTCGGAGACTAGATGTCTGGGTTCTTGCACCTCAGAATGTTATTGAGGTATATGTGATGGATCATGATGGATCATCTTAGTTGACAGTGTAGATCAGCACAGAAAACAGTTGGAAGTAGGGTGTGGAGGGACTTATAGGGACAGCATGAGAGCCCAAGCCAGCAGTGCTGCTTTCCATGGTTACACATGTTGTTCAGAACCTATAAGAAAAAAGGCTCACCTGTGATGTTCAGAGACTCACTTGTACTGTGAGCACCTTCCTGGAAGGGAGGCCCATCTCATCTGTGCTGCAGACCTAACTACTCTGTAATTCAGCCAAACAAATGAGAAAGAGGGTTGGATCTTAAGAATAACATTTCACCTTGGGAAATTGAGTTGTATAGTAGGATTGCCAGAAGCAGGTCCAGGTCTCCTGAGACTTACATAGGACTTCTGATCCATGTCTTTACAAGAAGAACCAGTGTGCTGTGGAGGAAGCTATAGCTAGGAGACTGCTTCCTGGGCTGTGCTGCCCTGTCCCCACTAAGGCCTTGATTCCTTCTCTCACCTCTCCCTGCTCAGAGGCCAGCATATGGCCCTGCCCTGTATCTTTCTTACCCTGGTAGGAAGAGATAAAGATGGCTGATTTTCTTCAGATTTAGGTGGGGTGACCTCCAGCTAGCTACACATGGAATCTCCTGAGTGGAGCTGGAGACTTCCTGCAGCTGTAGAGACTCAGTTCAGTAATCCTACCAGTGGGCCTCAGCTTCAAGGGGCGTTGGCTTCTCTCGGCCAAATCTTGGTTATCACAACTGACTGGAGGTCAAGGGTAGACTCTAGGAGAATGTATGGAGTCCTGGGTTATAACCCCCCTGGGTCTAGGCAGCTCCTAAACAGAGTGACTTGCTCAGATGTCAACAACAAATGCTTGATAAGTGAGGTCCCAAGGTATCTGTAGGGACTTCTTTCCATAAACAGGTGGATGTGTGGTGGGCAGTGGCTATGGAGACTAAGGGCTTTATAGGAAAACATTTGCTGGGTCTAGTGGCATTGTTGTAAATAGGGGCGGCGGGGCTGCGTCCCCAACACCCCAGCTGCCTGCTCGGCTAGCTTATGCCCCAAAATAATTACACGGACACTGTATTCTTTTAAACACTGCTTGGCCCATTCTCTTCTAGGCTAATTCTCACATATTAATTTAGCCCATTTCTAATATTCTATGTAGCACAGCTAGGTGCGCTTACCGGGAAGATTCTAGCCTAAGTCCATCCTGGGTCGGAGCTTCATCGCGTGCATCTTCCCTGGAACGGGGAGCATGGCATCCCTCTCAGGCGTCTGCTCCTGAGAGGAGAGCTGTCGAGTCTCAGCTCACTTCCTCTTCCTCCCAGCGTTCTGTTCTGTTTACTCCTCCCACCTATCTTCTAACCAATAAAATGGGCCAAGGCAGTTCCTTTATTAGCCAATGACCTTCCTCCATCATGGCTTTCTGAGAGAAGTAATGTCACATTTGTCATCTGCTATCATACACGTCTACATTCATGATTCAGGAAAGAGCACGTGATTTTAAAAGGCAAGGTACTCGGTGGTGTGGAGCAGGGGCTGCGGACACCACGCAGAGGGGATGGGGCAGATGGTAGAGTAGACTTTCAGAGGCAAGAACTGCAACTTGCCTGGTGCCTTCCAGAGGTACTTGAAGTGGGGCTAGGATGCAGGGATGCTGACTTATTGCAATATGAGCGTGTGTGTGTGTTGTGTGTGTGTACGCGCGCGCGCGTGTGTGTGCATGCTGTGTGTTGAATAGGGTGGAAATGGGTGTGAATGCAGTGTGTGTACATGTGTATGCATACATATGCATGTATATTTGTGGGGTATGTGTTGAATGAATGGCGAGCATATGCTTGTGTTGTTGAGTGAGGCCTAGGCCCAAGACAGTTCTTCTGGAATAGAGAAGCTGGGAGTGTTGCTGTAGAGGATGCTATCGGAGGTAACTGGGCAGAGAAGAGGGGGCAGCAGTGACACTGTGCTGGAGGAGCAGGTGAGCAAGCTGAGGACACCAGGAGGAAGCTTGTAGTGTGTACAGATAGAGAGGAGCCTGGAGAGCTGCCCGGGCCGTTTTACCCAGTGAGGAACTGGCACACCAGTGTACATTTATGTCTAGCTGAGCACACAGCAAATGAGCTCTGGGCCACGGTGCCCTGCTGGTCTCCTGCCTTGACTCCACTTTTTACTCTGCTGAGGCACACATGCTGGAGCCTGGTCAGGGGTGATTTACCGCACATTGTGTATTTGTTTACTCTCTGGACAGATGACAAGACGTTCCAATGTGAGATGTGTTTCAGATTCTTCTCCACCAACAGCAACCTCTCCAAGCACAAGAAGAAACATGGGGACAAGAAGTTTGCCTGTGAGGTCTGCAGTAAGATGTTCTACCGCAAGGATGTCATGCTGGACCACCAGAGGCGACACCTGGATGGTGAGCCTGAGATGCCTTCCTTCTGACCTGGTGACGTTCTTCCCAATCCTGGGGGTTCTGGGGTGCTGTTAACAGTGCCACGAGCAGCAGGAAGTGGTAGGAACAGTGGGGAACAAAATAGCACAGCTAGACTGCTCTTGAGTGCTGACTGTTAGGAAGTTATTTGAAGTATTTCTTTAGAGAACTTTTGAATCCTGTGAAGAATGATTTTAGTGTGATGGAGTGTAAGAAAGGCAATGTGTTGTCATGTATGCCACAGGCTCAGTCATGTAAACAGTGGAGTGTGCTGGTGTGTACTGTGGGTGGGGGCCATCCGTCTACACAGTCTGTGAGGTCAGCTCTCTCCACACACGTGAGGCAGCAGCCAGGGCAGAATGAGAAGTGGAACAGAGGTTAAAATCAGCATTCTGACTGAGGCTGTCCTTGTTTTCCCTGCTAAGAGTCAGTAGCACTCACTGATGCAAACACTCTTTGGTAGTGTTTGAAAACACCATTTACAGAACGAATTCAGGCTGTGTGTAAAGCTTAACGGCTAGATACATGCACATGAGTTTGTGGAAACAAGACCCGTCACATCTCTTCTAAGTTCCTGCACTTTGCTTCCCCCTGCCCTTTGGTTCGTAAAGACCTACAACATGGTCCCATGAGAGTCATAGGAGGGTACTCTGGGCCCCACCTAGCCTCTGAGAACCATGGACAAATCACTACACCTTAGTTCTCCTGCTTGTATAGTGGTGGTGGTAACTGTTTCTTTTGAAGTCAGTGTCATAGTTGGACCTGAACTTGCCATGAGGTTCCTTCAGGCCCATCACAGCAGTTGCTCAGAACCAAGGATGCTCACAGCTCTGCTCAAAGCCACTGCTTTCTGTGATGCACCTACCTGGACTAGGTGTACCTTTCACACTTGTTGTTTATTTATTTGTTTGTTGTTGGGGAGTTTTTTGACTTTAGTTTTTGGTTTTTCAAGATAGGGTTTCTCTGTGTAATAGCTCTGACTATCCTCAGGATTAGATCACCACCACCTGGCCAAATGAGCCTTGCTATGTTGCATATAAGCTCAAACAATCCACCACCAGCTTCCTGCATGTCTAGTACCACAGTACTTTCAGCATAGTTCCCAAGCAGGTCTAGGATCTGACCCGTACCGTGTGACCTCACACTTCCTGTTTGATCTGGGATTTCAGGTGTGCGGCGAGTGAAGAGAGAAGACCTGGAAGCCAGCGGGGAAAGCCTGGTTCGTTATAAAAAAGAGCCTTCTGGATGCCCAGTGTGTGGCAAGGTAATGTTCCGCAGTTACTGTTGGTGTTGCATGGCAGATACCCACTCTCTAAGCTCGAGCTCAGAGCTACAGACAGGGAGCTTGTATGTCCAGCCTACAGCCCACAGTCCCCTTGCACTCCCAGATAGCTGTAAATGCAGCCCAGTACAAAATAGACATTTAAGGCATAATACATGTCCTAGTTAGGGTTCTGTTGTTGTGGTAAACTGTGACCAAAAGCAACTGAAGTGGAAAGAGCTGCTAAGAGTCCATCATGAAGGGAGATCAGGGCAGGAACTCAGTCAGGAACTGGAGCAGAAACCGAGGCAGAGGCCATGAATGAGTGTTGCTTGCTGGCTTGCTCTCCATGTCTTTCCCAGCTTGATTTCTTGTAGCACCCAGGACCACCAACCATCAGTAATTATGAAGAAAATGCCCCACAGACTTACTTACAAGTCAGTCTAATGGAGGTGTTTCTCAACTGATGCTCCCTCCTCAGAGTTGGCTCTGACTTATGTCAAATTGACCAGAAAACTAGCCAGCACAAAAAGATTTGTTTTTTGGCTTTCATTTCTTCTGTACAGTTCTTAAGTGTCAACTTTGTAGACAATAACCATGTTTCTGTGTCAGAAGGTTAGATACACCTTCTAGGGCAACCGTGTTAAGGTACATAAGACAGGTTATGTACCATCTGTCTTTAACTAAGTGTCCCTCAGGGTGCACATTTGGGATGGGTTTCCAATAAATCTGTGGAGAGTTTTTTGTTTTTGTTTTTTGGCCCTTCCACTCTGTGGGACATGCTGTCCTCTTGAGTGTCTAGACCTTGTTTTCATATCCATATTGAAGAGGCAAGATGCCCTGGGACTTTATGCTGCCCGCTCTGGCCACCCCTGCTCAGTGTCCAGGTAGTATTTTCTAAGTTAGGGGTAGCCCATCCCATGATGGCCAAGGTTAGTTTGTAGATGCTAAATATTTTTGCCCGGACAGCCTGTGCTGTTGTGCAGGTGCCTTGATATGATCTACCCTGGCCTTGGCCGTGTCTCTAGTGTAGGCATCTAAGACTCCCAGCCCTGTCCTGACTGCCACATACACATTGCCCCATTCTTCACACATGAACACCTGTTCCTAACTGGAAATGCCATTGCTGGTTCATCAGACTCAACTCTGACAACTCAGGTAACAGGAGGTACAAGCTATATCCCCAGAGGACTAGAATCGTATCCCTTACTGCATAGAGCACACACTGGGGATACAGGTTCTTGAGAGGCTCCTGTGCATGTGGCCCAAGCAGCCTCTGGTGTTGCTGAGCCTGGCACAGCTGCACAGGGAGCTACTGGCATAGAGTAGCATTGGCTCCTGGGTACCACCACACTGGGAACCCAGCCCCACGTGGCTGGCCACTCCTGACTGAACATGTGGCAGCACTGCCAGATCCAAAGATGCCTTCAAGAGGAAATGAAAAGCTCTGCTTTCATGGTATTTCCTGGTTTCTTTGAACCCACAGAGCCAGCCAAAGCCTGTGGATCAGTGAAGCCATGTGCGGCCATTGACCTTAAATTGTAGGTTTGGAGGCAAGATGGTGCAGGGACAGGGAGGTGCAGCCCATGGGAATAGACAAATAGTCCCAGGGCACCTCATCTGCAGAAAGTCCTGCCTTTGGATGCTCCATGATCAGTGGGGCTTCTGGGACACTGGTGATTGTTGCTTATCTGCCTTGTAGACCCCATGTTCCTAGCCCCAGCTCAGGGTTGACTGTTAAATGGTTCTTGGAAGACTAGTGTGGATGCTTGAGTGAATCCACATCCATCCCTCCAGGCTGGAGACAGAAAGCAGCATGAAACAGTGCTCAAACTGGATTGGGTGTCTTCTTTGGTATTCACTTTGAGAAAAACTGCAGGTGTATCTGCATGGCTTCCCAGTAGGCTCTGTGCCAATGAGCTGTTTAACTCAGCGTAAGGACTGCTGTACTCTCATTGCAGCAGAGATTGGAAACAGTGTCCTGTATTGTGGTGTGAGTGGGTGTCCAAATCACTATAAGTTTAGCCAGGTAGTGGTGGTGCATGCCTTTAATCCCAGTACTTGGAAGGCAGAGACAGGTGGATCTCTATGAGTTTGAGGCCATCCTGGTCTACAGATCAAGATCCACAACAGCCACTGCAGTTACAAAGAGAAACTTTGTCTCAAAAATTAAAGAAGGAGCCAGGCACATGCCTTTAATCCCAGCAGTCGCCTTTAATCCCAGCACTCAGGAGGCAGAGGCAGGTGGATCTCTGGGAGTTCAAGGCCAGCCTGGTCTACAAGAGCTAGTTCCGGGATGGGCACCAAAGCTACAGAGAAACCCTGTCTCGAAAAACAAAAAACAAAACAAAACAAAAAAATTAAAGAAGAAGGCTGGGCAGTGGTGGTTTAGCCTTTAATCCCAGCACATGGGAGGCAGAGTCAGCTGGATTTCTATGAGTTTGAGCCAGTCAGGTTTACAAAAACTAGTTCTAGGACAGGCTCCAAAGCTACAGAGAAACCCTGTTTTGAAAAACCAAAAAAGAAAAAAATTAAAGAAGAAAGAGAAAGAAGGAAGGAAGGAAGGAAGGAAAGAGAGAGAGAGAAAGAAGAAAGGGAAGGGAGGAAGGAAGGGGAGGGAGGGAGGGAAGGAAAGCAAAACTGCACTTTTGCTTTCCGGCCATCCAGACCCTGAAGCACGATTAATAAAAACTCAGGGTCATAAATTGGGGTTCAACCTGAAGATTCGAAAAGCAAAACAGCCCCACTGGCTCTCACCTCGACCTCCAGGAGTCTCAGAATGAGACTGCGAGTCTGAGAGTTGTTTCTTCCCATTTTATAATCCTGTCTAGGGCTGGGATTAAAGGTGTGTGTCATTACAGCTACTGAGATCAAAGGTGTGTGTTACCATAATCTGGTCTGTAAGGCTAACGAGTGGGACTGTTTTACTCTCAGATCTTCAGGCAGTCTTTATTTATTAAAATACAGTTGAAATGCCACTACAAGACCCAAATAATCACAGAAAATTACAACACTGTTTGGCCAAAGGCTCAGGCATATTCCTAGCTAACTCTTACCTTGAGGCTTTTGGTTTGTTACCTCACATCTTGCTTCTTGGGTGGCTACATGGCAACACCTGGCATCTCCCAGACTCTGCTTTTTTTCTTTCTGAATCTCTGCTTGGATTTCCTGCCTGGCTATTGGCCAAATCAGCTTCTTTATTAACCAATGGTTGTAGGCAGAGACCTCTCGTTTGTTCCCGGCTGCCTAAACCCAAAATAATCACATAGAAACTATATTAATTAAAACACTGCTTGGCCTATTAGCTTAGGCTTCTTATTACCTAACTCTTACATATTTAATTAACCCATTCCTATTATTTTTATGTTTTACCACGAGGCTCATGGTTTACTGTTAAGGTTCCGGTCATCTGTCTCCATCGGCAGCTACATGGTGTCTCCCTGATTCTGCCTTCCTTCTCCCAGCATTCAGTTTAGTTTTTCCGCCTAACTCTATTCTGCTGTGCCACAGGCCAAGGTGCTTCTTAATTAACTAAGGATAATAAAACATATTCATAGCATACAGAGGGGAATCCCACATCAAATGGTAATAAAGCATATTCACAGCATATAGGGAGATATCCACACCAAGGAAGGGAGGAGGAAGGCAAGCACCATAAGTCTAGAAGAACAACTGCTAGATATTTAGGCCTGGTGGTAGCTTGTCCTGTAGGCCACAGGATTTGGCTCCCTGTATGCCCTAGCCCTCACTGCACTGGCTCCCTGTCCCCAGGTGTTCTCTTGCCGGAGCAACATGAACAAACACCTGCTGACCCATGGTGACAAGAAGTACACCTGCGAGATCTGCGGGCGCAAGTTCTTCCGAGTGGACGTACTCAGGGACCACATCCACGTCCACTTCAAGGTGCAGGCCCCACGTGGGTGACAGTGACCTGGCCCATCCATTGTCTGTGTAGATGAGGCACTCCACTCACCAACAGTAGACTAGATTTCACAGTTCTGGTGCTAGAAGGTTCCATGTCTGTTGAGGGCTTCCTCATTCATACATCTCCTTGCTGTGTGCTCACATGGGGGAAAGATGAGGAAGTTTCTGGGGTCTGTCTTTTAAAGACTCTAGTCCTACTCATGGCACCCCACTATCGGACCTTGTCATCCCCCAGAGGCCCTCCTTCCTCACGCTGTCACCTTAGGTGAAGTTCTAACACATGGGCACTGGCATTCAGATTGCTGCCATGTCCTTCCATAGCTGCCAGCATGGTCGTTGGCAGGCTTTTCATACAGATTCCCACTGACACGCCTGCTGCAGGGCCCAAACAGAATCTCCCTGTGTAAGGAGGGTGACGTTCTGCTGTCTCCCTGCCTTTAGGGAAAGAAGAGCTGTGCAGGAGTCCCCGGTAGAGAAAACTGGGTATGAGGGCAGGTGGGAGAAGCACCTGTCTGAGTCAGAGGCCCAGAGCAGTGCTGCAGCAGCGGGTGTCCTCCAGGACTCCGCCTGAGCATAGGTGGGATTGTCTATACCACAGGATGGCCAAACCCAGCGCCATCCAAAGGGACATAGGTATAGCTCGCTAGGCAGACAAATGATTCCCCAATATGCTGCAGTAAAGGCGGGGTTTATGACTGTCCTGCAGGACATCGCACTGATGGACGACCACCAGCGGGAGGAGTTCATTGGCAAGATTGGGATCTCCTCAGAGGAGAACGATGACAACTCTGACGAGAGTGCAGACTCCGAGCCGCACAAGTACAGCTGCAAGAGGTGCCAGGTACTCAGCACCGCCTGCAAGCACGGCCGCGGGTGGGATTGGTGACCATGGGGCTGAGAGGATCTTACAGCACAGTGTTGCCAATCTCCTTCACTAAGGAAGCTTGTCCCATATCACGTGGGCTTAGGAATGGTAACTGTGGGAGTCACCCATCAGAACCCACTCATGACTTGGTGTGCACATAAGCAGGACAGCTGATGGTGTTGGGGCCTGTGTCCTGGAAACTGGCCTAAGACTGGGGATGCTTGGCCCCAGCCAGCCTGAAGCTGGTCCATACTACACAAGGCAGGGTGCATACTTTCAGGAAAGCAGCTCATGGCCTGAGTTTCCAGCAGCCTCTCCTGTAAGCCACCACTCCCCCATGAATAACTGGCCCTCCCGTGGTGTCTGGTGATAGAAGTGTAGCAGAGATGCCCAGAGATGCAGTGAGTCAGCAGCTTCCACCCTGTGTGCCTATAGCTCACCTTCGGCCGTGGGAAGGAATACCTGAAGCACATCATGGAGGTCCACAAGGAGAAAGGCCATGGCTGCAGCATCTGCCACCGACGCTTTGCGCTCAAGGCCACCTACCATGCCCACATGGTCATCCACCGAGAGAATCTGCCTGACCCCAACGTGCAGAAGTAAGAATCCAGGGTTGTGAGGAAGAGGGGGACTCTACAAAGCCACAGTGCTTTTTTTTAGCAAGTCACAATCACTGGGTCATCTTTGCCAGATATTTGAGGCACCTAGTCTCTAGGCCGCATTTCTCACCGTATTTTTTTTTTCTCTACAGGATTCTAAAGTATGTTGGCCTACTTGACAAGCTAACACAACCTGCTATAGCTAGGTTTTGTTAATGCTGCCCATGTCAAAGGTCAGACCATAACCAGAGCTATGTTGTGAGCAACTAGATGACTGAATTCATCTTCCAGAGCTGTTGTGACCAAATACCTCATACTCCATAGTCCTAGAGCCTGGGATCCCATATCAATTATATCGATCAGGGTTGTCTCCTCCTAAATTCTCCTTGACTAGCCATGGCATCCTCAGTGCCCTCAAAGGCTCAGCCTTCTCTACATATTTAGCTCTTCTCTCATCTTCTTAAGGATTGGGGTCACCACAATGACTTCATTTTACCTTGATCTGCTCTGTGAATGCCTGTCTTCGTATACAGCTGTATTCTGGGCTAAGACTCCAACAACAGTTTTTGAGGGACACAGTTCAACCTATTACAGAAGCTGAGTTACGTAACATCTTCTTGCCTCACCTCCCTTGATAAAGGAGCTCTCACACATGCCCTTCACAGCTGAACAGACCCTCACAGCAGATGAAGCCTTCTCCGTGGATGAGCCCCTCAGATGGTAAACCCCCTAGAGGGGGCTCCTGAAGAGTTGTCTCTACTTTCAGGTACATTCATCCCTGTGAGATCTGTGGGCGGATCTTCAACAGCATCGGGAATTTGGAGCGCCACAAACTCATCCACACAGGTATCATGCTCCTGCTTACATCTTACCACCCACCCAGCAACAGGAATCTGCATCACTCTCCCTGGCTCCATAACAGACAGCCATGCCTTGGCTCCTCACACTGCATCCCTGCTTCTCCACCTTCCCTCCAGGCCTCCCCTGCCACTGCACATCCCTTCCCATACCTATGTCCACCTCAGGTTCTCAGGGCCTTCTCATGCCAAAGACTCCCATGGAACATACTGGAAAAGCAGCCCACGGTATCCCTGTGCTTCTAGCTGAGACCCTTGCTGGCTGGGGCTTTCAAGCACTGCCGTGTTTGTTTGCAGGTGTGAAAAGCCATGCTTGTGAGCAGTGTGGAAAGTCCTTTGCCAGGAAAGATATGCTGAAGGAGCACATGCGTGTGCATGACAACATCCGAGAGTACCTGTGTGCCGAGTGTGGGAAAGGTGAGTGTGTGTCTGGAGCCCCGGGGGGTCTCTCGTAGCCACAGGGTATTCTGGAGCCATGGGCCATCCTGGGCCATCCGAGCATGTTAAGCCAGGCATCCAGCTTGCCTATGATCACTAAAATGTGGACCTGAACCTAGACATAGTCTGTGCCCGTGACAGTGGGTGGCTGCTAGGAATCATGAGTCTTCTTGGCAAATGGGGGCCAAAATCACACCATGTACACAAAATTATCCTTTAAGACTTCTCTATAGCCTACAAAAAAAAGCTGGACGTTTCAAGTTCTGTTATTTGAGACAGGGTCCATGTAGCCCAGGCTGGCCTCCTGCTCAGTGTGTAACGAAGGATGACCTTACATACAACCTCTCTCCCCAAGCTCCTTCCTGCCAGGTTCTGCCTAACTCTGTTTTCTTTCCACATACTATGTAGGTTCTCTTACCCCCCCCAGTCTCACTTAGAACAGAAGTCCTATGAAGCCAAGGGCTCTGTCTAGCATAGCACCTCGTCTCTAATGCCTGGCACTTAAATAGTCAAAGCATAGCAGTTATGAGAGTGAACGAAAGAGACGATGAATAGGTGTTGGAACTGCAAGGGTGAGGTTTGTAACAACTAGGTTCAGTCCTTTGCAAGAAAGACAAGCAGGAGCAGACAGCAATACTGGGTAACACTGTTTTAAGTAGAGCTTAGATGTGATAAGCCAGAGAGGGATCAAGAACAGGCCAGTTACCTAAAGAATACTCTGCTGGGTGGCTAAGCTTTGACTGGATCTCTCATCACCTGTGGTTTTTGTCCCTGGATGGTGTGTGGGGGGAGGGTATACAACATTTTTATTTGGAGGGTTGGGAAGAGAGGGAAATTAAGGTAAAATTGTTCTTCCATAGTCAGAAAAAACTGGCACTTTGCACAGCCAGGGACCAACAGCCGAGAGACTCGGGGTGGAACTTGTGTGCCCTCTGCTGTCTGACTTGATGGGTCCTATGGCCCAGCTGGGCTGTCACTGAGATGGGTGAAGATGGGTAGTGACGGGGTGGGACTGGGGTGGGACTGGGGGAGCTGCTGTCCAGCTGAGGTTAGAGCTCTGAGCCCTCTGAGCTCGCTCAGCATGCCGCCGCTGCTAGTTTGTCCACTGGGGGCTGCGGGAGGGTGGGAGGGTGGCCCAAGGACTGCAGTCTGCCTGCACTGGTGTGTGGGCACTCTGGGTATACTATGCTGCTGCCACTGCCACCCACCCAGCTGGGCCTTGGCTGGTGAGGATGCTTCACCACTTCCCTCATCTTGAGTCCTAAGTCACAGCTTTGGACTATTTCAGTACCTAAGATTGGCAGCAGTAAGTAAAAACTTGTGGTCTGACAAGGTGACGTGGCTAGTAGAGGTGTTTGCACATGGCTGTAATGACCTGAGTGTGATCCCTGCATCCTGCAGTGTGGCAGGAAGTGACTCTGGGGAGTTGTCCTCTGATTGTACATGTTCCTGCACTCACTTTCTCTGTCTCTGTCTCTGTCTCTCTCTCTTTCTCTCTCTCTCTCTCTCTCTCTCTCTCACACACACACACACACACACACAAATATTTTTTTTAAAGAATGGCTCTTTTTGTTTGTTTTTTGTTTTCATTTTTGTTTTTCGAGACAGAGTTTCTTCATGTAACTCTAGCTGTCCTGGAACGGGCTTAGACCAGGATAGCCTCAGACTTACAGAAATCCACCTGCCTCTGCCTCCGTAGTGCTAGGATTAAAGATGTGTGCCATCCCCACCCTGCAAGAATGGCTTTTTTAAAAAAATAAGCATATATCTGGTGTCTTCATCTTAGTTACCATCTTGTCGTTGAGACAGACAAGAAGCCCTAGTCATCCTGTCCATCTCACTGCATCATCTCAGATGCTGTTGTTGACACACCGCCATCTGAATGTCACAGTAAATCTCTAGTGGCCTCCTTCACCCTCTGAGGTGAGGCCCTAGCCTTTTTCCCAAACACATTCTGTGTCTGTGCCCACTGGGTTCAGAAGGGCGCTTCAGGGGAGTGGATGGGACACAAATGCCCGGGCAAGTTCTGGTGAGTCTGGCACTCATGCGGATCTGCCTCCTCTAGGAATGAAGACGAAGCATGCACTGCGCCACCACATGAAGCTGCATAAGGGTATCAAGGAGTACGAGTGCAAAGAGTGCCATCGCAAGTTCGCCCAGAAGGTCAACATGCTGAAGCACTACAAGCGGCACACAGGTGTGTCAAGTCCCCGTTCTGCCAGGTCTGCGAAACCAAACGGCCCCAGTGTGGTGAAGATCGGTGCCAGGCACCTTCTTATGAGTTTGTCTTTGACTGAGTCCCTGGAAATCAGAGCCACTTACAGGGGTACCCTGTGTCTGCAAAGGATCACAAGTCCATCCCACCACCAGTGTGAGATCTTTGTTTTCCATATCTCTCTAGTGTTTTGTTTTTGTTGTTTTGGTTTGTTTTTAGTTTTCGGGACATGATTTCACTGGGTAGCCCTTGTTGTCCTAGAAGTCACTCTATCCAGGCTGGCCTCAAACTCACAGAGATCCACCTGCATCTCAAGTGCTGGGATTAAAGGCAGGAGCGACCACTGCCCAGTATGTTTTTTATTTTTAATAATAGTCATAACTAGGGTGAGATGGCTCCTTATTGGACTGTTGGTTTTCAGGTCCATGGTGGCTGATGATAGAGATCATTTTTCATTTATTTGTGTCTATTTTGATCATTTCTGGTTTTAGCTGTGTTGTTTATTTCTTTTTTTTTTTTTGGCAAACATGAGTAACAATAGTCATTTAATTGACTCAGAAGTACTGTAACTCTAAATTCAAATAAACAGGGCAATTTTGTTTTAGATTTTTTTTTAAAAAAAATATCGGAAGAAACACGTGTGGTACACTAAGGAACTGCCACACCTCCACACTATGTTCAAAGCTGTTGCTGGTTACAAGTGCTAAATGAAAGTGTTAAAAAAATTATTTAGCTTATTTTAATACACCTGCTTGTGCAATATATTTTGAAAAATTAGAAAGCTTATATATTTTATTTTAATTAAGCAATATTGATACTTTTACTTACATGTATTGAAAGGGGGCAATAAACTTGAAAAGGTGTTGAAATTATAAGAAATTATCTCCCTCACATGCTTATAAAGTCATGAATGTCACAAAGTTCTTTTAAAATGTTCAGAAAGTAGATCACTATATACAGAGCGTTAAGTCACTTTGGTTCAACATACATTGTTCGTATTAACCTTCCGTCTCATGACTGACTGACGGGTGTCTCTTTCATTGTATCTCTTGTCTCTTTGCTCTGTGGCTGTTTCCTTTGCTCTGGAGAAGTCTCATGGTTTGATGTGTAGTTTTTTGTTTGTTTGTTTGTTTCCTGGACTTCAAGGATCATCTCAAAGCCATTGCTGTAGTGTGTCTCCTAAGTTTTCTTTTAGTACCAAGGTCTTATCTTTAATCTTTGACCCGTTCTAAGTTGGTTTTTGTAGAGATAAAGGTCAAGTTTGAAACTTCTGAATGTAGACATGCAGTTTTCCTGGCACCTTTGTTGAGATTCAGTTGACTGTACATGCATGTTTTTATTTTAGGATCTGTTCTGTGGATGTGTGAGTTTCTCATGCCAGTACCATTGTGGTTTTGTGCCTGTGACTCTGGTACCTGCAGCTCTGCGTTCTGTTCCGGGTCACTTCTGCTACCCTTCAGGATTGTTTTCCTGGCTCTGTGAAGAAGTCATTGGTGTGCTGCACTGAATCTGTAACTCACTTTGTGTCGACATTTTAACATTCTTAAAGTCCATGCATATGGAACGTCTCTCCACCATTTGGTGTCTTCAGTGGCTTTATGATCTTCGTTGTAGGAACATTTCCCAGCTTTCATTATAGCTATTCGAGGTAATTTTTTTGTAGTTATTGTGACTGGAATACCTTTCGTGATTCTTAAATTAAAATATACTTTAAGCCAGTCAACAGTGGCGCTCACCTTTAATCCCAGCCCTTGGGAGGCAGAGCAGTTGGATCTCTGTGAGTTTGAGGCCAGCCTGGTCTACAGAGTGAGTTCTAGGACATCCAGGGCTACACAGAGAAACCCTGTCTCAAAAAACCAAAAAATGAAATAGGCTTTAAAGACTTCCTTTTAAATAAAAATGACTTGTATTTTGTAATCTGAAGCTGTGGTGTCATCAATCTTCCCAGCGTGTTCCATAGGCTTCAGCAGCCAGTACTCTAACACTGTGCCCCTGGGGCACATGATGGATGACTGTTCGAAATCCCTGCGGCAGCTCCAGGGCCTGGGCTCTATCAGGTGTTTGACCACTTTCAATTTAGTATTACCTGAAGGGATGTTCTTGTGAATTTGAGGGCTGTGTCCTTCCACTAGTCCCAGCATCTTGATTGTATATTTTCCCCAGTATCGATACCTTTTTTTGTACTAATTATTCTGGTAACAGTGTGTAGCTTATGTGGGCACCAGGGATCCCCACCATATTTTTCATATCTTCAGGTGATTTAGAAGTCTTAATTTGGTAAATTTATGGTGAATGCAGTGTGTGCCAATGAGAGATTGCACACCGTTCATATCTTGTTGTATATCTGAAAACTGAACTTCTGAACACAGAATCCCTGTCCTGAACTTGGAAATTCTTGGTTTTAGATGCGCCTGCTAAAAGTCTGACCTGAACTTCCTACTCTCAGGATTTTTTTAACTTTACAAAATGACAGGTTTCATAATGTTTTCCTACATGTAGGCAATGTATATTTTCATGATTTCCTCCCCAACAGATAAATATGATTGGTGTGTGTGTGTGTGTGTTTCCCCCCCTCCTCCTCCAGAGGCTGGTCTTGAGCTTGTTGTGTAGCTAAAGGTGACCTGGAACTCTTGGATCCTCCTGTCTCTGCTGAGTGCTAGATTACAGGTGTACACTGCCACACCTGGTTCATGCAGTACACAGGTCATACCCGGGGCTTTGTGCATGCCAGGTGAGCACTCTGCTCACTCAAACATCCTCATCTTCAGTTCTTTGTGTGTGCATTGCTGTGTGTTGGGTATCTGTGTGTTATGTAATTCTAATTCTTACCAGTTGAGATCTTGGTGGCATCTTCATGCTTCCCCACATGAAGTTAAGCTTTGTACAGATAGGGATGATTTGACTTCCAGTCTTCCTGCACGCTTGTGTTTTGCTTCCCTCTTGCCTGATGGCCATGCTAAACCTTGAGGTGCTATCTCGACTACCAGCATGGGAACTGACACCTTGTCTCCTTTCAGACTCTAGTAGAGACTGCTTTAGTGTCTCCCTTTTGGTACAGTTGCTGGCTCTGGGTTTGCCATGCATAGCCTCATGCTGAGGTATGATCCTTCTACACCTGGTTTGTTAACATTTTACTTTGAAGGGACGTCTGTTTATCAAATGCTTTTTCTGCTCTATTTGAAATGATTGTGAGATTCTGTGTCTGCTGATATTTTGGCCCTTTATTCTATTGATGTACCATATCACATGTGCCAATTTATACAGATTGAACCATCCTTGCTTCCTGGGATGGATTCTGATTTATCTTGTTCATCCTGTGGATAGTGAAAAAGTAATCCCTGGTGTTTGTGTGACCACAGCTGCTCTGCTGTCTCTCCTTGTCCTGACTTTCTCTTGCTGTTTAATCTCTAACTCCATGTCTTAGGAGCTAGCCTTTTGAGGCTAAGAAGGGATTTAGGTGAATAACCCTGCTTTGAGAAACTGTTGCTTTCTCTACCCGTGGGTCTCTTCTCTACATCTGTGTTTTCAGGCCTTCCCAATCTCTTCATTTTTAAAAATATGAAATGTCATATAATGGGCTAAATTTTTGAGGCCACAGTTTTCTAGGTAAATCTGAGAATAAATACAAATTTTGTCAAACTATCTTCTATTTACCATTCCCCTTAGGTGCTACAAATCCTGAAGCATGAGACATCCTCTGTATATACTTAAACTGAAAACCCACTAAGTATGTGACGTTGAACTTGACTTTTCCTGCAGGAATTAAAGACTTCATGTGCGAGTTGTGTGGGAAGACATTCAGCGAGAGGAACACCATGGAGACCCACAAGCTCATCCACACAGGTAACTGCGGCCCAAGGATGGTTCAGGCTGTCCGAGTGTGTAGGGATGAGAGCCCCAGCCCAGTCATAAACACTTGCAGAATAAAACTCCCTGGTTTAATGCAGCCCGTTGGCCTCTAAACCCCACTGTACCTTTCCAGTGTGTATTCTTCAAGGACGAAGGCCAGTGGTTCCTGCTAGTCTTAGGCATTGGTGTCCAACTGGTCTGCCCAGGTGACGGCTCTCTAGAGGAGCAGAGGGAATGGCAGGTGCTTAGCTTGGGAGATGACTTAAGCATTAATGGCTGTCTGCTGACTTGCATTTCTCTTTTCTACCCCACTTATTTGTGTGCGAAGTGGGCAAGCAGTGGACTTGTTCCGTGTGTGACAAGAAGTACGTCACAGAGTACATGCTGCAGAAACATGTCCAGCTCACCCACGACAAGGTGGAAGCACAGAGCTGTCAGCTGTGTGGCACCAAGGTGTCTACCCGGGCCTCCATGAGCAGACATATGCGGCGCAAGCACCCTGAGGTCAGCCTGGGACTTATTCCCATCTCTCCATAGCATAGCCTGGCCCCACCGAGGGACTGGAGTACCTGTTCTGCTCTGAGACCCTTTGTCCTGGTGCAGTGTGAGTTTAAGGTCGAGCCCTGGTCTTATGTCGAAACTATATCATCTTTTTTTTTTTTTTTCCTTCCTAAGGCAGGTCATGTGTAGCCCAGACTGGCCTAGAACTCACTATATATCTGAGTAACGTTTTGAACTTGAGGTCCTTCTACCACTTCTCTGAGTGCTGGGACTGCAGACATGCTTCACCACATGCAGGTTTATGTGGTTCTGAACCTTGAACCCAGGGCTTCAGAATGCTAGGCAGGTACTTAGTCAGCTGAGCCCCAGCCCAACCATCTTCTCATGACAACAAAACTAGACAAATAGTTAGTTACTAGACCCCTAAGAAGAGAGACTTTCTGAGCACAAGGGTCTGAGCAGGGAAGCTCTTGGGATTTCTGTAGGTTTGGGGCGGGGGGGGGGGGTGGGTGTAAACTGAACACCTTTGTGAGCTGTATTCCCTTTAACAGATACAGACTTAGTGTCAGCTGTAACAACCATTCAGTAGGAAAACCCAGTGTGTAGGGAAAGAGAATTCATGGGAGAAGAAATTCATACAAGTATAAGAAACACCAGGAAGACTTCTACTTTTCTCTGGGTCCCTGGAGTGGTGATGTAAGCAGGAGACACAGTCCTCAGAGCCCATTCGTGTTCTGCTGGCTCAAGCATGGTTCAGAAAAGGGCACAGAATGGGCTTTTGTCTAGAGGTCCAAAGATGGAGCTCCCTGACACCCCCACGAACCCCTACAACGAATAGTGTACATTTTTCCACTTTAGATTTAAGGGGCCATTGGGGTGAGGTCAGATGTGTAGCCTTCCCCAGTCCTACAGTTTCTCTACACCTTGTTTCTTTGGCCGCTCACCTTTCTTACACCTTCCCAGTGCATTCATTTCCTCCCTGTGCTTGTGTCTATTGCCTTACGTAGGACTTAGTCACCAGTTACGTGACTGTAAGCGGCTGACTAGTGTTGCTCGCCATGGTGGGAGGCTGTTTGGGCTCATAGGACAGGTCATGGAGTGAGTGTTGCATGCGAAGGACCCTTGTGAGTGGGGCTGAGAAAGGAAAGGCAGGACTAGGCGGACATGCACATAGCTGCATGCCTTAGGCTAAAGGCTACAATGTTAGACCCACAATAACCTCCATTGGTGGTTCCTGTAGGACAGACTTATTGCTCTGTGTCTTAGCTCACTGAGAGCACGTGTCATGTAGGCTACAGAAGGAGGATGTAGCCTCCATCTAAGGACAGGAGCCACAAGATAACACACAGGTACCAGGTGTCCCCACCAGGCCAGACAGCAGTGTAGAGACTTGAGATGGGGGTCAGAACACAGGGTTCGGGCATACTCTGGAGAGCATTTTAGAAATAGTTTCAGAGTCAGACCTGACCCTAGGAGTCAGAAGCAGAGGTGAGTTTGTCAGTTAGCTGCTGGTCTCTGACAGCAGTGGCCCTTGCACAGTGAATCATGCTCCTAGTGCATGATCAGGAAAGCCATTGGGTGGCCATAGCAACCCTGTACACTGCCCTCTGCCCCTTTCAGGTCCTCGCTGTGCGGATTGACGATCTGGACCACCTCCCTGAGACCACCACCATCGATGCCTCCTCCATTGGCATTGTCCAGGTGAGCAGCACAGAACGTACGCAGAGGGCTGGGGTGTGAAGGGAGCAGATTTCACATGTAGGAACAGACTCTAGACACGCACCATTGACCACGCCTTACACATCAGCACAGTCTCACTGGGATTTGGTTGGCATTTATTATGATTAAATTATCTTAAGCAAAATTAACAATGTTAGGCAAACAGAGAATTTTTTCCTTTTTAGACAGGACCTTGCTATGTGTACCTGGCTAGCCTGGAGCTCTATGTAGACCACACTGGCCTTGAACTCACAGAGCTCCACCTGCCTCTGCTTCCCCGGTGCTGGGATTAAAATGTGTACCACCATACCAGGCCAAATCTAGATTTTAAAGGAACTTTTACTCAATTCTTTTTTTTTTTTTTTGAGATAGGATCTCATATAGTCTAGGTTGATCTTGAGCCTGCTGTATAGCAAAGACTAGCCTTGAACTCCTGCCTCTGCCTCTCAAGTGCTAAAATCCCAGGCATATGCACCATCTTGTCTGGATATACTGAATATTTTTATGGCACTTTTTTATTTTTAGTCACAGAGTACGTTACACTGTGTTTAGGATGTCTGTACCCAAGTGCTTTGACTTGAGTGATGAGTGTCCTATAAGTTCAGGTGGCCATGTCTTATGGAATGGATAGAATTCACATCTAGCCCCTCTGTGAGCTGTTTATGTGCTTGGCAATTCACATGTGAGGGTGGGTGCACCCCTCGTGGTCCCGACTTCTTTGCTCATGTTCTCCCTCCTTCTGCTCCTCATTGGGACCCTGGGAGCTCAGTCCAGTGCTCCAGTGTGGGTCTCTGTCTCTATCTCCATCCATCACCAGATGAAGGTTCTATGATGATATGCAAGATATTCATCAGTATTGCTATAGGATAGGGTCATTTCAGGTTCCCTATCCTCAGCTGCCCAAGGAACTAACTGGGGATCTCGGCTTGGGCACCTGGGAGCCACTCTAGGTTCAAGTCTCTTGCCAACCCTAAGGTGGCTCCCTTAACTAAGAATTGTGCTTCCGTGCTCCCCTATCCAACCTTCCTTTATCCCAATTCTCCTTTTTCCCCAAGTTCCCCCCATCCTCCCCTTCTCCCTTTTCTCTCCCCATCTCCCCTTACCCCCATGCCTGCATGGTTTTAATCAAGTGTTTACGTCCAGTGTCGTTCCTGCTGTGGATAGTGGCTCACAAGCCCTTTCTTTGAGCTGAACTCCCCTCAAGGGAAATACTTCTCCTCTAACGATGTTTCTGTTTGAACACAAAATAGCCACTTCCTGTGACAGCTTGATGCCGTGGGTTGTAAAGGAGTGAATGATCCATCCAGACGTAGCCCACTGTCGTGGTGGTTACTAACGCCAATCTCCTTACAGCCTGCACTGGGCCTGGAGCAGGAGGAGCTGGCAGAAGGGAAACATGGGAAGGCTGCCAAGCGCAGCCACAAGAGAAAGCAGAAACCAGATGAGGAGGCCGGGGCTCCAGTGCCCGAGGACACTACCTTCAGCGAATACCCCGAAAAGGAGCCAGAGTTCACAGGCAGTGTGGGTGATGAGACAAATTCTGCTGTGCAGAGTATCCAACAGGTTGGTTGGTGCCTTTGTGTATGAGGTGACAGCCACCTCTGCAGGGGCAGCTCCTCTGGGTATGTGGGTGTGCACCATGGTTCCAGCTCTCACTTTCCATGTAGGCATTGTCTCGTGAAGCTGTGCCCCCTGTGGCCTCCTGACCATACATGCCGTGTCAATAACAGCGTGACACGTTAGCAGTTCCCAATTGGGTGCCCCAGGGGGCCTGTCAAGGAGCAGGAACTGGACGCCGCGAGCCACTGAGCTGGCCTCTCTGTGCAGTCTCTGCTTTGCTTATCTTCTGTCCCTTTGTCTGTGTGACCCCACTTCTGCCTCGTATTTGTGGGTGGTGAGTCTGCAGTAAGCTGGATTGCGTCCGTCTCGCCTTTCAGCACTAGGTATGAGGAAGCCACAGCTGTGGCGCCTCCATAGCTACGCAGGTTTTACTGGGCCACAAGACAGGCAGGTCAGAGGGTAGATGAAGGTAAAGTGTTGGCTTCCTGGATTTTCAGACTTGCTTTACTCGCTATATTGTGATCTGACTCTTGCCTCTGCTGCTGCACCTGGCTTTCATGTTGGTACTGGGGTAGCATGCAGGTCCTCATGAATCAGCAGCCAGCACTTTGTCAACTGAACCGTCCTCCTCAACTCTGGGCACACTTCACTCTTTGTTCTGGCCAGTGACATTCATTTGATTTTCCCATCCCAGCATTGCCTCTGAGAACTTTCCAAATTTCCTTTCTCTTTTCCACTGGTATAATTCTCCTAGGACGCTGTGTTCTGCTTTTCCCAGTGGAGGCCTTGCTTTAGCTCTTCTGCCTGAGCATGCAATTCCATCACACACCGTGACCTCCAGCAGGAAGGTACTGTGGGGTGTTCTGCCTTCTTTTTTCAGAAATAATTCATTGTCTCTTTTTCTATGTGACTCTTGCAGGTGGTGGTGACCCTAGGGGACCCCAATGTGACTACTCCATCGAGCTCTGTTGGCCTGACCAACATCACCGTGACCCCCATCACCACTACAGCTGGGACTCAGTTTACCAGTCTACAGCCAGTGGCTGTCGGACACCTTACCAACCCTGAACGCCAGCTACAGCTGGACAACTCCATCCTGACTGTGACCTTTGACACAGTCAGTGGCTCCGCCATGTTGCACAACCGCCAAAATGATGTCCAGATCCACCCACAGCCAGAAGCCTCAAACCCTCAGTCAGTGGCCCACTTCATCAACCTTACCACACTGGTGAACTCCATCACACCCCTGGGGAACCAACTTAGTGAGCAGCATCCACTCACATGGCGGGCCGTGCCCCAGACGGACGTGTTACAGCCACCACAGGCTCCTGCAGCCCCGCCACAGGCAGTGCAACCCCAGGTACAAAATGAACAGCAACAGATGTACAGCTACTGATCATGCAGCTGCAGAGCTGGCTGAGCTTCAGGGAGGGCTCTGCAGCCTAGAGGTTTATTTGCTGGGTACCAAACAGGAAGAGTATGTACATGACAGGATCACTGAGGTTGGGCTAGCATTGCAAAGTTACCACCTCAGCTGGTGACATGGCCTTTGACCGGCAGGAGCTTAAAGCACTCTGGAGTTACACCATGTGCTTCCCCTAGGTGGTGCTGTCTGGCCAGACCACAGTGTCACCCTCAGAGGTCTGCAGTTGTCATGGGGCTCAGGGACACAGCAGGGTCCTAGAAGTAGGTGTGATATCCCTAGGACCAGGGAGATTTGATCTGTTTTCTTTAGCACTCCAGTGATAATACAGAAACATGGGTAGCCTTCTCAGGCAGCACACAGAAGTAAACCCAGGTTTCTCTTTGCTCCTGAATTCACAAGCAGGGACAAAGAAGTCAAGTAGTTCTTCCTCTGAAGTCTCAATTTGTTTGTCACAGGGCTGTGACCTGAGGCCTTGTATGAGAAGTTTCATGACCTTCATGGGAGGTCCCTAGGTCAGGCACAAAAAGCATCTTGGGAACAGTCTGTTCATTTTATTTCATAACCACTTTATGTATTATGGCCCTCTTGTGGCCAATATTGATTTATTTTAATATGATAAAGTCGTTTGCACTGTAGGGTGTTGGTCCCTGTCTTGTGCACAGGTGCCTTGTGTGAGGGCACACACAGTTGTGTGCAAAGTGAACCCTCATGCTCAGATCCTAATGCTCCTCAGAGCCATCTCAGGACTCTGCCATCCAAACATACGTATTACATTGCAGCTTAGCCACACCCCTGAATGGAGGATGGGGAGTGAACTCACGTTTTCTTTCTGTGTAAGCCTTAATTCCAAAGGTGTTTATGTCTGACTACCAATTTCCTATGAAATGGAGGAGTTCAGCTCTACAGGAGAGAAGTGTAGCTAGTGATTTAAGAAACCCAGTGAAGGTAAGCTGGCCTCACCCAGCTCTGGGGGAGACATGGCAGCACCTGTACTATCCCGAGCGATAGATCAGGTTGTCATCATGGTGTCCACAGTCCCAGCACAGGGACGCAAAGAGACAAGGTTAGAGGAGAGGAGTCTGGTCTTGCTCTTCTTACCAGTTTTTAATATCATACAAAAGAAGAGGTTGAAGACAAACTTGCCTTACTTTGTCCTTGGTCCAGTGTTTCCTAGTTATAGCCGGATGTGGGCAGCTGCCCTGCAGAGACCCTGGCAGCTAACCAGCAGGGCAAAGGAAACTGCAGTCAGCCTGGTGTCAGACGAGATGCTACTCTCTCAGCATCTCCTTCCAGAGAGCAAGCTTTGAGGATAGGGCTAGAGCTTGTGTTATACAGTTGGAGCCTAAGGAAGAGATGTCACTCAGACAGGTCCTGCTGGTCTGTGGATTACTTGGCCCACACCCTCTCCATCCACACAGGCCAGTCTCACCTCTCAGTTGTTGGTGTGGTGGGAGATTCTTGAACTGCTTAATTTATGAGTTATTTTATGTTATTTATGTGTGTAATTAACTGCTTTGTATACAGTACCCTTATCAGATGAACTTGGGCGAAGGGTAAACTGTTTTCTAAAATATTGCCTTCATTTTCCAAATAAATATAACTAGTGTAGGAAGCTACGGAAGCAGTGGGCAGTCCACAGTTCCTCTTTGCCTCTACAGCCTCTCAAAGATGAACAAGCTGAGCCCAAACGACCATTGAGCTTAGTCAGACACTTACTAACATTTGGCTTTTATTCTCTTCCCTATGAAATAAACACTTTTGAAATCACATTTTTATTTTATAAAGAGGTGTTTTTGTGCCTCCAGTCAGGCTGTCAAATCCTGTTGAAAGACAGAGCTTAGGTTGTGTAGTCTCCCCTGCTGCCACTGTTTACACACACGGAGGCACCTGCTTCTGCTGTAGTAAGCAGGAGCTCAGATAAAACCAGCTTTGTGACACATGGTCTTACCAGAGTCACTGACTGGGGCAAGCAGGTTGTCTTAGCATGGTTACAGCTACTCTGCAGACTGAACTGTAAAACAAAGGCATCTCCTCCACACTCCAGCTGCCCCACATACATCATAAACATGGTTGGTTGGTGAGAACTCTTTTTTTTTTTTTTAAACTGGTTTAAGGTGGGCAGGTGCATAGTTATGTGTTCAATAAGCCCTGTGACTGTCTGGGTTCACATAAATAAATGTATAATGGGAATTTGCTTAAACCTTGTGAATGGTAATGTTGTAGGGTCACATGTCATGACAGGATAAAACTCACAGTTGGAGCACAGGGCTCCACCCTCTAGGGTGGTGTTAGCAAGTGATATGGTCTCAGGAAAAGGGTCTGTACCGTGAAAGCCCTCTGCAGAATGCCCTCGTGGAAGGCAGATCTTTTGTCCTTCACACCATTCTCATTCAGTATACAGAGTCGGAGGTAGCACCTGGGGCTCACATAGGTTTTGAGGGCCGTGAAGACCATTCTGCAACTCGACGGGTGTTTCATGTCACATCTGTTTGTATGATGGTGAATAAAGGTGCTGTGACCTGTGTTTTTCAATTGCTGGCCCTCTGCTCTCCTGCCCGTGAAGAAGCTGTGCCTGGTAACCGTTGAGAATGGCTTTAATTCCTGTTGTGGGTGATGTTCTCATTTCCCTGCAGGCCTGAGAATATGTTTGGACCATTTGAAATACTCTGAGATACTGAGTGTTGGAAACTTCCCCAAGAGTTACAGATGGCAACAGAGAAAGTACATATGAGCTTCTTTGTAAAGCTGAGATCAGAAGATGGGCACCAGGCAAAGCTTTTCCGTGGGCCTATGGTCTCAGATGGTCCCTTACTGATACTGATCAAATATTAGATGGTGTGTTCTAATTTGTCCCTGTGGGTTTTATGTTTGTTTTGAGGCAGAGTCTCATGTAGCCCAGGCTGGCTTTAAACTCTGAACCTTCAGTCCCCCTGTGTGTACCTCCATATACTATAATTACAGGCAGCACCACCATATCAAGCTCTTTTTTAAAGCCGTGAAATGCCTTTATTTTCAGTCCTCTAAGGAGCTGAACCGTCAGGACTACATTTCACGTATCTTAGCATCTGGTAGCAGGTAGCTCCCCTGCTGGTAAGACTTGTGGATCCAAGCCTGTATATCCCTTTACATTCAGAGCAGACTTTGGATATACCAGTAGGAGAGATAAGGAAGCCTGTATTATTTCCACAGCTGACGCACTAGCACCATGAGGTACCACATGGTACATCTGAAGATACCTGACAGAACTTAAAGGAGGGCTTACCTGAGCTCCCGGTTTCACATGACACAGTCCCTCTTGTCAGAGAAGGTTGGGTGGCCGGAGCAGCTCCTTCTGTAGTGTTAGGAACTTATGATAGTAGTTTTTCCCATGAGTCTGTGGGAGACTGCAGATTTGAACCGTAGCATTTGTGTTCCTGGTCCCCTTCCACTCTTGACTACCTCATAAATGCAACTACATTCAACTATCAGAGTCCCGGATCTTCACAACTTCACTGTTGCAAAGTGTCTACTGAGATTCAAGGCAGCCTCTTTGATATGAAAGAGTAAAGCTGCATTGTAACAGGTCTTTCTCTGTCCCCCAACCAGCTCCCAATAACGACACAGATCCGTCATTAATTATAAAAGCTTGGCCTTAGCTTGGACCGAATTACCTGGGAGATAAGATAGCAAGGACATACCAGACCAGAGGGTAAATGTTGGCCCCTGTAGCCCCATATCTAGCATCTGGGGCTTACGAAGACATTGCCTGTGTGCCAGTGGCTAGAACAGCTCCTTCTTTATTTGCAGTTTCACCCAGCCAGTACCTGTGGCTCTTCTGGGAGGATATCTTGTTTTCTTGGAATCTCCAACATCCAGGTCTCTCCATTGAAACTGAGATTTCATCTTCACAGATTTCTTGCTTGGGAACTCCCTGAAGGAAACATAGTCCTGCTATGCATTGCTTGACTCCCTTGCTTTCCTTTTTATTATTATTTTTTATTTATTTATTTATTTTTTTTTTACCAATTTAAAACCAGTAGCACGCCGGGTGGTGGTGGCACACGCCTTTAGTCCCAGAACTCGGGAGGCAGAGAGAGGCGGATCTCTGTGAGTTCGAGGCCAACCTGGTCTACAAAGGGAGTTCCAGGACAGGCTCCAAAGCTACAGAGAAACCCTGTCTCGAAAAACAAAACAACAACAACAAAAAAAAAAAAACAGTAGCACGAGGTGTGTTCCCTTGAACTATGACTACAGAAGCCTCTGAGTACTGTGTACCTTAGCTGTTGGGGGGCTGTGGATACTTAATACACAAATCTTTACATGCATATCTATTAATTCTCGTTCCACATACAATGAAAACTAGACCCCAAAGAAAAAGAATGAACTGGGTCATTAGCTTCTCTCACCTGTTTCTGTATGACTTGAGTACATCAGGCACCCCAGATCTGCAATGACAGGTTAAAATGAACATGCTGGTCTGGCTGAAAGCAGCCTTCCATCTAAGCCTTGCATCCCATTCCCATTTCAGGGACTGACTCTCCTGAGACTGAACCCTGGAAACATGGGAGTGCATAAGCTGCCTCAGACCCCAGCAACTTGCTCCTCCCTGCTGACATGCTCACTCTCTCACTTCCACGAACACATGGGTGAGAGTACCCTTTGCCGCAGCACAGACCCACTTGTGTCTCCAGAGGCTCCTTGAAGAAAACAGGCTTCGAAACCCAAGAACTGCTTGTTTAGGCATAGCTTGTTTCACGCAGGTGGGATTTGAATCCATCCCAACACTGGTAGTTGTTCACTTGTATGAAGCCTGGAGCTTAGCTCGCAGATAGACCCTTCCTTTCAGAAGGAAATGGAGCTGCTGGCCAGGCTAGGAGCTACTTCTAATATACCATGGGTAGAACATTATGATATAGATCCATCTTGGATATTGCAGTCACAGGAAACCCGATACA